CTATACGAGTTCATGGCCAACGGCGATCTCCACCGGTGGCTCCACGAGCTTCCGACAGGAGAAACCGACGTGGAGGACTGGAGCACTGACACGTGGGAGAATCACATTGGCGATGTGTCTCATCTCTCGTCGCCCGAGAAAACTAACTGGCTCGTCCGTCACCGGATCGCACTCGGAGTGGCTCGTGGCCTAGCCTACCTCCACCATGTCGGCACCAACCACGGCCACCTGGTCGCGTCCAACATACTCTTGTCCGAAAACCTCCAGGCCCGGATATCCGATTTCGGCATCCGCAACATAAAAAACAATACTAATAGTAGTAGCAGTAATAACGGTAACGTCGAATATGATGTATATTGTTTCGGGGTGATCTTATTCGAACTGCTGACGGGGAAACCGGGATCGGGGATCGTAAGAGACGGTCAGAGCGGTGAGGCGGATGGTAAAGGAAGGGAGAGGGGCGGAGGCGCTTGACTCGAGGTTGCGACTCGGCGGTGACTCAGTGAGTGAGATGGTGGAGAGTCTCCGAGTGGGGTACTTATGCACGGCGGAGACGGCGGGGAAAAGGCCCACGATGCAACAAGTCTTGGGCCTCCTGAAGGATATACACCAGTTGTCGAGCTGAGTTGACTCACCGAGCCGAGCTTAGTGTGAACTCGGGGGTTGTGTTTTGAGTTCGTGATTTTGTGACACATGTAATCTTGTCTCGAATTGTTATAAAGATTCGTTTTTTATTTTAAATTTTGGTCAGAAGAGTTAGGACAAAAAGGACCATCAATCAAAGACTTGGACCCTTAGACGTGTAAGGGTAGATATAGAGTGCACAATTGGTGTTCTTTTGCTTTTGTCTTATATTTTTTCTCTCTGCATTATATGTCTTGTCGATAATAATAGCATATTGTCCATATACATATATATATATATATATATATATATATATATATGCGTACGCACATATAGTGGATATTATGGTCTACGTACCACGGTATGGCTTGTTCTTATCCTTCATCTTAGCTAGGGTTGTGTGTGATTTATTTCGTTTCCTGTTTTGTATAATTCAAGTTATATATGCACGTAAAAAGGAGACTGGACATATGAAATTTTGTCGAAATAGTGCTATATATTATAAATTTCGCATGAATAAAAATTATGAAAGTGTGTAAAAAAAAAAAGGAGGGACAGAAGAAAGTGGGTAAGGTGAGACGATTAATAAAATGTATAATAAGAGAATATTTGCGAGCGAGGATCCCACTTAATCTTTGTCTTCATGTGAAATATATGGTATCACTTGGATTTTTAAAATTTTAAATTATTTAATTATTTATTTTTACCTAGCTGCGATAATTTCGTCTTTTCCTTTGATCCCTAATTTGCCTTTTTCTTTTTTGTTTCGTTATGATTTTCAACTTTATTCCCTCTCGGATTTACTTTAATTTTCCTCTTCGTCATTTATATTCTTTCGATATGGATATTCCTCTCATTTAGCAAAAAGCGAGAACGACGTTTTCTCAAGCCCCTTCGTCACGTCGATATTTTTCCTGTCTCCTTGTTCCTTTCTGTTTTCACATTCTTTAATAAAAAAAAGTAATTGATTTCGTCGCTTTGGGATCACAATGAGAAGTGAATATATATATATATATATATATATATATTTCTGTCATATTTTTGGTTCATAATTGTTTTTTAGATTTGGTTTTGTAATAATTATATAAACTGGGTTTCTATTGTTTTCCGATTTTATCAAAATTTTACTTCCAATGAAAGATATTTTTACATTCTATTTTTTGTTTTGTTTTTCATTAAAGCAAATACACGTGATATTTTTTTTTCAACACTAGTAAATATATTTGCTATATTTTTTGATAAATCGAAATTATCATAGTCCGGATTATATGCCTACCGAATTGGGTTTTGTTCTCTCTCTCTCTCTCTCTATATATATATATATATCCAACCTGCAGTTTTCATTTTATGTGTAACCAATAAATGTGGTTATCACTTGTGAGCTAAGCCCATGTTCAGCATACAGTTTGTGTAACATATGTCTAGACGGGCCATACGGTCCATATAATAAGTTTATGGGCTTTTTTTATTTACCAAATAAAGTTACGGGCCTTCCACCTATATATAAGGAAATCCTTATGGGCTTCTATTTACTCTTATTTGGGCTTTTTGTTTAGGCCCATCACATATGGAGCTTTACTTTTTCCTCTCACTAATATTCTACCGATTTTTTATATTAATGTTTTTGTTTAATCGATTATTATAGGGAATTCATTCACGGTGACGAAACAGTTTGCGTTTTTCTCGTTGGTGAAATATTCATTTTTGTGTTCCACTTTCGCGAATGCGAAAGAAGATACGTGGCATCTTTCTATTATTTTTTATATAAATATAAGTATATCCTTTGATTTATTAAATTAAATTTAATACCGTTGGTTCGCAAAAATTGACTGAAGACTGAAGTCCAGAATTTTACGAGTTGACCAGCCCACCTTTCCCACCGACTGCCAACTCATCCCACCCTCCTTTTTTTTTTCTTTTTGTTTAATTATTATCCCAACATTAATTTATTATATTTTCTTCTCTAATTATAAATACATTTAAAATCACTCATACGTACTACAATAACTTAATTATTTTTTATTTGTTCATTTGAGATCCAGCACTCATCGGATTTAACTAATCCATATATATATATATATATTATATATTATGAGGTTTAAAATCCACAAATACATAAATAATGATGGGATTGATAGATATCGTCTCTTTTTTTTTTTCTATCAATTATTATTATTTTCAGAATAAAAAAAATCTAACATTTATCTTGTTTCATCAATGCTAGTACCACCATGATCATGATTGATTTATCTTTATGTTCCCAATAAATGAATAAATAAATATAAAAGAAAAAAATTAAAATAAAGCGACACTGTTAGGTAATAATTGAAGTCGCCCTAAAAGCCCCCAAATAATAAATCTACATATTATAACGTAATAAAGAGAAATTGATAAACAGATAATTTTTTTTATACGGATAAAGTATAATAAATTATTTTATAATTTAGGATAAAACCATAAAAATAGCTAAACTTGTAGAATGTTAAAACAACTAACTTTTATGATACCGATTAGGGGTGGCCAATTCAGATTTCGGTTCGGGTTCGGTTCGATTATATTCGATTCGATTATTTCGGTTATAGAAAAACTATAACCATTCGGTTTTTATATAAATTCCGGTTTGGTTCGGTTCGGTTATTTATAAAGTTCAATTTTTCAAAGAAATTATCAGTTATTTTTTCGATTATTTTTTATTCGGTTCGGTTCGGTTCGGCACGGGTATTCGGTTAATAAGCGAAATGGCCACCTCTAATATCGATTAATAAGTTTGAAAATTATATTGACATATTTTATTAATTTGAGAATAAATTTGCTAAGCAAAAAAATTAAAATTTATTTTCTACCATTTTACTAGTTTAAAATTTTTTATTGGGATTTAATTAAAAATAAAATACATATAATATCGGGCCGATTTTAGCGATTTAAAAAAAAATAATGAATTTGTGTTGTCAAAACATTTGAAAATTCGTATTTTATTGACAAAAAAATGTCGCTATAGTTTATAAAAATAAAATTATGATTTTTTACATTCTCCAATATTATAAAGCGAAGGAACATGGATGCTTTTGATCAAGTGGTCAACATTGATTTTTTGACAAACTTGTTCCCAAATTAATCATATGCCAAATAACTTTCTTCCTAAAACACAAATCACGCTCATTATCTATGCATACAAGTTATATTTCTTACCAACTTGAATAAAAAATAATGAAATACCGATTTCAACCTCGGTTTATCAATTGTGAAAATATGTTCGGTTCGATTATGTTCGAATTTAATTGTTAAGAAACTCTTTTTTTTTATTCGATTGATTTGGTTTGGATTTAAAAAAGCATAACCGTTATTCGATTACGTTTATATTTTATTGGGTCATGTTATATTAGAATAATAACTAGACCGTCTGGACCCACATTGTCGGACGAAGGATAAAATTGTCAAATCGTGTAGGAGCCGTTAGTCGCAAACAAACAACGTAATTGCTGGCTACGTAATTATCAAACAAGACGAGGGTGTTTTTGTAATTACAAAACAGGGAAAAACAAAAAAAATCGGAAGGGGAAGATGGCGGAGAAAACGGAAAGTAGAGAGAGAAAGAGAGCTGGAATCACATGGGCTTGTTCTATCTCTCTCCTTTTCTCATCTTTGGTCCTCTCTCTCTCTCTCCCAACCTCTCTGTAATCCTCTCTCTACCATGATCATCACCCACCAAACTGATTGAACCCATTTCTTCAAAAGTTCATCTTAAATTTCATCTCTTTCTTTCCCTCTCTGTGTCTCTTTCGCCATGGCTGACGAGAAGGTTAGCACCTGAGTTTCCCTTTTCTCTCTTTCCGCGAAGATACCGTTGTTTCCTTCCCTGCGAAAGGGGTTTCCACATTTCTCCCTCGTTTTGTTTTCTACTCCTTGTTTTCTTTTCCTTTTTAGATTCATTGTATTTGATAAAAAAAGGGCAACTCTGGTGATGTTCGTACTTTTCTAAGTCTTGCGTTTCTTCCGTCTTCTTGACGGAACCAGAGATAGATAGGGCCTAGGGCGAAATCCAATTCTCTGGGAATGGAGAGGTTTTGATTTTTTTGGAAACTGTATGAGCTTTTCTGGAAATCCCCTGAGCTATATGAAAGGGTTGCTTAGGGTTTCTGGGTCCTGCAAAGTAGTCCCCTTTTGACGATCTAACCGTTTTTGGGTTACTCGGAGAACGAAAGAGCAGATTGTAGAAGCTTCGGCGTTGTGGAAATCGTGGGCATGTGTGAATTTAGCAACTTTTGCTGAGATTTTTTTGCCGCTCGGATTCTGTATATTAGCTTCTGTAGCAGCGATCTAGCTTTTGCGAGCTCGCCTGTGGAAACAATAGCTGATTCCGAGGTTGTCGGTCTCGATCTGTGTATATGTTGTCTGTATCTTAGCTGAACGACCTACAGCCTTTGTTGTGTGTGATAGATGCCGTTTGTGAGAATGGACTCATTGTTTGTGGGATATTTGTTTTTTTTTATGCTTCATCTTTCTCCTTTCTTGACCAAATTTAGCAATTTTAGTGGTTCTTGTTTAAGCTGGTTCAAGTTTTTCTTACATGAATGCTCTTCTTGCAGGAGATGTCGGCCGCTGTAGTTGATGGGCATGATCAAGTAACTGGTCACATAATCTCCACCACCATCGGAGGAAAAAATGGAGAACCAAAACAGGTATCTTTTGCTAACAGACACGTTTTCTGCAGATACCTTGTCTGTATATGAGATTTGATCCTCTCATTTTCGAGTTCTGATACAGTTTTTTGTAATGTACTTGTAGACGATTAGTTACATGGCCGAGCGTGTTGTAGGAACAGGATCTTTTGGGATAGTTTTCCAGGTATATATGGGGCTTCTCTTCCATGATGAATGGTGCTTGTGTTTATGTGGATTTGTGGAATTAACGTGTCTTTTTTTCCCGCATTTTTTAATTCAGGCAAAGTGTTTGGAAACAGGGGAAACCGTGGCGATAAAGAAGGTTTTGCAAGATCGGAGATATAAGAATCGAGAACTACAGTTAATGCGTGTGATGGATCATCCAAATGTGGTTTCTTTGAAGCATTGTTTCTTCTCCACCACGAGCAAAGACGAGCTTTTCCTCAATTTGGTTATGGAGTATGTGCCCGAGAGCTTGTACAGAGTATTGAAGCACTATAGCACTGCAAACCAAAGAATGCCTCTTGTCTATGTCAAACTCTATATGTATCAGGTGTTGATTGAATTCAATATGAAGGATTCTTTTTTAATATTTATCATCGTTTCCGTGTTAATTATTCCTTTACTTGCAGATATTCCGGGGACTTGCGTATATCCACAATGTTGGCGGCGTTTGTCACAGAGATCTGAAGCCTCAAAATCTTTTGGTATGCATTTCTTGAAAAAAAAAACGATGTACAAAAGCAAAAAAAAGTTTTCGACTTTTTTTTCCTTCTAAATTTGCTTCTGTGGTTTCACACAGGTCGATCCTCTCGCTCATCAGGTCAAGATCTGTGATTTCGGAAGTGCAAAACAGCTGGTATGGCTCTTTCCATGTTGATCCAAGCTTTTGCTAAATCCTTATGACTAACACTTAGTTTTTTTTTTGGAGAAGAATTGTCATGTGATATTTCACTTCATATGGCATGATATCGTGGATTTGCATGTGTGGTCAAACGTAGAATTGATTGCATGATTTGCTATTGAGTTATGGCAGGCATCTTATTATATATCAGTGATATTTTTCTTTCTTTACTTGAGTTCAGACGTCAATGTCTTTTATTGATGTATTTGTGATCAGGTTAAAGGCGAAGCCAACATTTCTTACATATGTTCACGTTTCTACCGAGCCCCCGAGCTTATATTTGGTGCCACGGAATATACAACTTCAATCGATATTTGGTCTGCTGGTTGTGTTCTTGCTGAGCTTCTTCTGGGTCAAGTAAGCATTTTTCTTACATCTTCGTGATCTCCTATTTGCTGTGTAATGGCACACTCTTCTGGAAGAGTTTCACTCACAGTTTCGGTAATTATTTCTTTCAGCCGTTATTTCCGGGAGAAAACGCGGTGGATCAGCTCGTGGAAATTATAAAGGTAAAAATAGCTGATTATGATACTTAGTAGTAATATTACGGGAAACGGATCCTCATATGTATAATCGTTGGAGACAGGTTCTTGGTACCCCAACTCGGGAAGAAATCCGTTGCATGAACCCGAATTATACAGACTTTAGGTTTCCACAGATAAAGGCTCATCCTTGGCACAAGGTTTGCTTTTTTCTTCTTCTTCATGGATTCTTATTCTTATCACGGTTTCTACATTAATCGGCCTTAGCATTCTGGTTTTGTTTCTTTTCGCTTTTGCTCATCTGCGTAGATTTTCCACAAACGGATGCCTCCCGAAGCAATTGATCTTGCTTCCCGGTTGCTCCAATACTCTCCAAGCCTTAGATGCAATGCAGTGAGTTTAATCATTTCATCCCCCGCCCTTTTTCGTAGTTTATAACGTAAACTTATTAAAAATATGGCCGGGTTTCAGCTCGAAGCATGTGCTCATCCATTCTTCGATGAGCTACGAGAACCTAATGCACGTCTCCCGAATGGACGTCCTTTCCCGCCGCTCTTTAACTTCAAGCACGAGGTACCGTCCTCTTTTAACATACTCTCCGTCATTTTCTTGAAATGGAATGCTTTTTTCCCCCTGAAAAGAACTTGCATTGTTTAATGTTTTAATGTTTTAATGTTTTAATGTTCAAACAGATAGCTGGAGCATCACCAGAGCTGGTCAACAAGCTGATACCAGACCATATTAAGAGACAATTGGGTCTCGGTTTCTTGCATCCAACCGGGACATAGTGGCCAGAAACGTGGGTATATATATATGTATGTACGTATATACACCAGCAAAGATGATGTTTGAGACACGTGGCCCTAGTCCTGACAATCCCAGAATGTGAAGCACTGCCATTACATGATTTCCTCGTCCGCAACAACTGTATCTCTTCTTCACCTTTCAGCTGAACAAAAAAACAACTGCCCTTGTGTTTGTATTCTTGATCTTTTGTATCTGTAAATGATTTAGTCAGATATATGTAGTAAGCTTAAAAGCAGAGAGGAGAAGAATAGGAGGGCCTGAGTTTTCCTTTTTTTTTTGCCTTTTTAACCTTAAAAAAACACAACTCTTTTTTTTCTTTTTTAAATTGTTGTTGTTATTACAAGTTCATGAGATGGTTTTTTTCTATGACTGATTTTCTTTCTTACGAAGACAACTCTCAAGTTGTGGAAAAGTTGAATCAATATGATAGATATGTTTAAGTTTAGCGCATTCCAAGATCCGTTGTAGTCTAGATGGTTAGGATACTCGGCTCTCACCCGAGAGACCCGGGTTCGAGTCCCGGCAACGGAATTAGTTTTTGTCCTTTTCTTTTTTTTTTTGGTTTTTAATGGTTTACAGAAGCGAGGACAATTTCGTCATTTGCTTCTTTAGAAAACCCTAGCTTCCATCTCATATATCTCTCGCTTTCCGCTCCATTCCAAGTCCGTCTCTCACTCTTTTGCTCCTCCTCCTGCTCGACTCGATCTCCTCAGATGGTCTTGTTCTCCGCTTCCTTCTCTTCTCCTGTATACTCTTTCATTGTCGATTCCTTGTCTATGGTAAGTTTTTTTAACGTTTTTTTCCTGTGGTGCAGGCGTCGGAGAAGAAGCTCTCGAACCCCATGAGGGACATAAAGGTTCAGAAGCTCGTCCTCAACATCTCCGTTGGTGAGAGTGGAGATCGTCTCACTCGCGCCGCCAAGGTCCGTTTGTTTCCCGAGAAAATTACCCACCCGGAATGCAGAGAGAAACATTCTTTGTGTTTTCCCATTAGTCATATGCCCCTGAAGCAACGGACTTTGCATCTTTGATCTCTTAATCTCCTCATACTCTCGAATGCTGCCATTAGGGGGGAACTCGCGAAACCCTGAATAAAAATGAGAAAAAAAATCAAGTTTTTTACATGCCCATTTGTTGTTTTTTAAGATCTAAGATCAAGCACTTTTACCCTTCTAGGTCCTGGAACAACTCAGTGGTCAAACCCCTGTCTTCTCAAAGGGTAAGTGGATGTTGATGGAGGCTATTTTATGTTGGGTTTTATGAGTCTGCTGTTTTGCTTTACTGTTCTTGCATGTCATAAACAGCGAGGTACACTGTGAGGTCTTTCGGTATTAGGCGTAATGAAAAGATTGCGTGCTATGTTACCGTGAGGGGTGAGAAGGCAATGCAGCTCCTTGAGAGTGGATTGAAAGTGAAGGAGTATGAGTTGCTGAGGAGGAACTTCAGCGACACTGGCTGCTTTGGGTTCGGTATTCAAGAGCACATCGATCTCGGAATCAAGTAAGTTTGTAGATGTAATACTTGGGATTTCAATTGGAATGGATGATTTTGATATGATAGTGGTTTTGGTAGATGTCATTGGCATTGATAATTTCCAATGAACGTGTTTGATGGTGTCTTTCCTGAGGCTAGGCAATATGGCCATTTTGTATATCTGCTTCCTGTTTTTTTGCCTCTTAACAGATAATCTTTTGAAAGCAAAAAAATGTGAGATTCTCTTATTGAAAATGTTTTTCTAGGTCCTCTTACTGCCCACATGAATATGGTTTGATAGATATTGTGACAACATTGTAAGACAGCCTTATGAGTCATTGGTCTTTTGCATATGGAAATCAACAGTATTTTGTTAGGGTGACCTTAAAGTTTTGTTCTTTTGGTATCTAGATTTTTTGCTTTGGCCTTTGACCAAGCTCCTTATGCTTGCTTGTTGGACTCTTCTCTTTTTCTTTGATCATTTGATTTGCTTTACAAAGATTTTTGAAAATGTCTATAAACTTGGCAAACCTATCATCAATTTCATTTCTTTATAGGTATGATCCCTCGACCGGTATCTATGGTATGGACTTCTACGTGGTTCTGGAACGCCCGGGGTACCGTGTAGCCCGTCGCCGCAGATGCAAGGCCCGTGTTGGAATTCAGCACAGAGTGACAAAGGAGGATGCCATGAAATGGTTCCAAGTCAAGTATGAAGGTGTTATCCTCAACAAGTCTCAGAACATCACTGGTTAAACCTTTATTCTAGCTGTTGCCGGTTTTGCTTTTAAGATTCTGGATGTTTTCTTCTTGTGGTGAGTGTTTTTTCTACATCAGTTGGTAAAAAATCCTCAAAGTTCTTTGAAATATTAAAGATTTTTGAAATTTACTGTTTCAATATCTTGATGATCTTTGGATTCTTACTCAGTGAAATCCATATATTATTCGAGAGCACGTTTGATCAATTACATTTTGGTTCTCCACATAAATGCTTCAATTACAACTGATTTGATCAAACTCCAAAGACAATCTCTTGACCGAAGCTATGATGATGATGGTGGTGGTGATGATGATGGTGGTGGTGATGATGATGATGATGATGTGAGTAGCTCTAAAAGCTGACCCTTCTTCAACTTGGAGTACCCTTTGATTCCTCTGGCCTTTGCAAGTTCCTTCAGCTCAACAAGTTTCATACTTTCAACAGTGAGAGACTTCTCTTCCTTTGTTGCCGTTTCCTTCAACTCTTTCCCACTATTGTGCTCAATAACCTTAGCTCTTGGACCTGAAGGAGATTGTATTGGAGATCTCTTCATGAAATTGGACGGTGGCCTATCTCTCCTCACGAAATTACCCTCCTCGTCCTCTTCCTTCATGGCGCCAGTCTCTCCTACGATACAACAACAGCATATGTATACAACCAATGATTTATACTCTAATAGATGAAGGATTTTCCTATTTTGTGGGTGAAGGGTCAGATCAAAATTCGTTCTTTACCCTCATTTTTCTTTCTGGACCGGCGAATAACATCAAGAAGAGCTTCAGTCACTGGCTCACCCTGAGAGGACCCGACATTCTTCTTTGGAGGTTCCCCTTTGGAGATTGAAGACTGTATCCGTTTGAACAGAGAGATAATCTCTTCCTGGTTGGATTTGCTTGGGTTTGATTGTCGCTCTTCGGACAATATCTTCCCTTTCCTGGCTGGATAAGTAGTTTTCTTCTGCAGAGGCCGATCCCTGCCATCAACATCTGATGTTCTTGCTCTGGAAAGATTCTGTCCGAAACGTTGTTTTTGTGAAGCAAATGCTGGAGAAGGAACATCTGCAATCTGTCAAACTCAGTAAGCTGCACGGAAAAATGGTTTCTCAGCTCCTAAGATCTTTCATAACCAACAACAATCTCAATCTCCCAAAAAAAAAAAAAAAAAAAAAAAAAAACACCCTAGCGCAAGCCTCTTCGATAACCTTAAAATCAGAACCAGAAACTATAACCTACGTCGGGAAACTAGATTCTTTCCCTGTTCCTGTAAACGACAAGATTCAGCAAGGAAGCATCGATTACCTCTGACAGGGAAAATGGCGTCCCTGAAGCTTAACTTCGGCTGTTTGGTAAACGAGAAAGCGCCAGGAAAGTGAAGAACCCAATCCATAGTTTTTTTCCGGGAAAATCTGAGATTTTGGATACGTAAACGAATCAGATTCACCAGATTTGAGAATCCCTCTCGCTCTTTTCGTCCTAAATTACAGTGAAATGCAATGCGTTTTTTTCCCCCTAAATTCTGGACCATACACAGTGGTCAAGGAAATTTCCCGACAAGTGAATACAAATATTTTTCATAAATAAACTGTTGAGGAAACAGACGTTATATTTATTTATACACACCATACTTTTATCTTTTAGAAAATTAAGTTTTGATATTTTATTTTGAAAAAATTAACAATTTTATATAGTTTCGATATTTTAAATCGGATCTTAACTTAATATTACAATTTCTAACCCGTAACTTGATATTAATCTCAAAAGTTGTCGGTTAGAAATTTCAGAACTTGAAAATTTGTTACAGAGAAACTCTACGACTTGTACATAAAAAATGGGGAAAATCACCCAAATAACCCACTTGGGTCGCATCTATTTCAATGTACACCACCGAAAATTTTTTATTTTTTTTTTCAATTTTAACCCACTTTTCGGTTGGAAATGTCCAAAATACCCTTTTCGTTTTATTTTTTGCGACCTTATTACGATTAACATATAACTGATATACAACTAAAATAAGATAGATAATTTTTTTGCCACCTTTTTTAGAATCAATTGTAACTATATTTAGACTTAATTACGAAGTCGTAATAACGAAGTTGTTTTCGAACGGATAAATATCGTAATTCATTAAGGGTAATTTCGTCTTTTCATAGGAAAAAAATGTGTTATGTTCTCGGTGGTGTACAGTTGAAATAGATGCGACCCAAGTGGATTATTTGGATAAAAAACCCTAAAAAATGATCATAAGTAGAATATAGATCTAAGTCTGCATTCTTCTCCAGAATTGTACAAAACACAACACAACTTACCCACTTCTACACTTTCCATTTCAATTTTTTCTTTTCCATCTCCTATCTGAATTCCCGCCTTCCTCCACCTTCTCCAACCAAAACTTCCAAGCAAATCCAGGAGAAGACCGACCTCCATTAGAACCAAACAGCATCAGTTCTCGCCCAGATTCGCGATCGTGAACTCAGGCTTTGATCTCTGTTAATGCTTGATAGATGGACTTGTCAGGGATCAGCCCTTTGCCTTTCAAGTCTCTGTGGAGGCAACTCTCTGTGAAAGTTCAATGCTTGACCAAGAAGATGACGCCGAGCTTCTGTATGAAGCAAGATATATGATGAAACTGACATAGAAGCCAGTTCCAGCGCAGACAAGAAACCCGACAAGAAAGCCCTTGACTTCGGCCATGAAGAAATCGAGCAGAAGATACCCGTTTATTAGAATTACGAGCACTGCCACAGTCCATGCCAGCTTCTGCAAAATAGCCGGGGAAAAGAGGTCCAATCAGCTCAATACTTGTTGAAAGGTGATGCTGGAATTTACGCAGAATTCATGATAAAGTCTTTTACCTCGAGCACCGGTCCGATCTTGAATACTCCCACGAGATGTTCCTTGGAAACTAAGGTAAGGAGAGGGATGATGGCAAAGGGAATCTGCATAGACTGAAGTATGTTAAGCCACTCGTTCAGAACGTCCAGTGAAGACTCTGATGTATCAAACATAAGAGCCACTATCATTGTAGGCACAATTGCAAAGCTTCTGGTGATAAAAGCCGATAGCCACTGCGCCATTTGAAGATCAAGAAAACCTTCCATTATATACTGGCCGGCATAAGTCCCGGTTATCGTGCTACTTTGTCCAGCAGCTAATAACCCGATTCCCCATATGTAAAGGATCGGAAATAGCCCTCCTCCATACTTTTCCTCAAGATAGTGGCCGGCATTAACCAGTCCTATATTATCAGCTTGTTCACTTCCATAAAACCCTTTTGCGAAAACAGTCGTTATGAACAGGTTGATCATGAATGAGACCAGAAGCGCAACAGATGACTCGATGGTGTAGTAATTCAGAGCTTCCTGAACTTTACCGATCTTCTTAGGGTCAGTCTTCCTGGACTGAACCAGAGCAGAGTGCAAGAACACGTTGTGAGGCGCTATCACACATCCCACGACTCCAACGGCTTGCCTGATTGTCTTCGAACCAAGTTTTGGGAGAAGAATCCCTTCAAGACAGATTTAAAAAGAAAAAGAGATCATTTTTTGACGAAATTATCGGGCAAAGCCTCTTCAGCAGAACTAGAGAACCTTCAGGACGATGCACAACTGAAGACTTGTTTAGAAGCATGAGACTTCATGTCCATGTGTCTGTCCTTACCTATGAAGAGTTCTTTCCCGCTTGGCCTCGCATCATTGAACATCCATGCAAATGAAAGAGCCATTGTCGAGATGAGAACCGCAAAGAGAGCTTCTAACTTTCTCATTCCATAGTTTTCCAGATACGAAATCAAGAAGCTGCAAACAGAACAAAAAGAAATCAGCAGACTTCGAGAAGAAATGAATCGAACATTCTGAAAGAAAGATCCTGCCAATTCTAGTTCATCTTGGTGAGCTCTCCATATATACAGATTCATATGAGAAGACCAAATCTCCCTCTTTACGCCATTACCAACAAATTTCTGGATTTCTATACAGAAAACAGCATTTGGGGTCAGATCATTCACAAGATCGATCCCTTCAAATCCTACCATACTCCGACTCGAATCGTCCTATTGAGCACTAACTCGGACAATCTCTCACCAATCCGACGCCGTAACGATGACACCACCCCAGAGAGGCAAAAACCCTCGTGTCAGGATCTGAAGAGCGATAGCGCTTCCGATGACTTCCTGAATGTCGGCGCCAATCAGCGCGACTTCCGCCATGAGCCAAAGCGAGATTCGCGTCCACGACGGGTACTCATCGCGACAGATCTCCGCCAGATGTCGGCCCGTCGCGACGCCGATCCTCGCCGACAGCAACTGAATCAGAAGACCCATTAGCGTCGCCCATAGAAGAAGCCATAGCAGATAATATCCCGCCACAGCCCCCGCTTGCAGATCCCCTTCGATGTTCCCAGGATCTAGGAACGCTATGCTCATGAGAAATCCAGGTCCAGTGAACTGCCATAGCTTCGCCCACGAGAATGGCGGGACGAAATCGCCGTCGTCTTCGACGGTTAGGATCTGATCTCGTGGCTCCGCCGGCGATTCCCAATAGGTAGAGGAAGAGTCGGGTTGAGAAGCTTGGGGCGCTAAGAGACGTTTGGATTCTCCGTCATTGTCGCTAGGTTTTGTACCGTTATTTTCTTGGCGGGAAAGCGTTTCGTCCGTCATCCTCTTAACGGAATATACCTTCGGCGTTAATATTTTAACGTGTTTTTGGGGGATAATTGTAGATTATTTAAGTTCTAAATTCATGGATTTTAGAGACGTCGAGCGATAAATTCAGAAATTAGGTTCTAAGATTCATTGATGTGCTAAAAATAAATATATATATTATTGAATATTTCTAAATTTAGAAATCAAATCACGATCTCAGGTTAAAAATATAAAACGATCGAGAATTTGGTCCTACCATCGCTAAATACTGGTTTTGCTATCTTCCCGGATTATACAATCTACGATATATATACATATATGTATATATATATACTGATTTTTTTTTTATGATTTGTTATTAATCCTAAGCATATAGAACAAAAACCGGATTTTATTATTTTACATTTAAGAAATGGAAATATCCAAATATGAACAAAGAAAACGCATATCATAACACATTGGAAAATACTCTTGAGAATGTAAATTGGGAATGTAAATTGACAAGAGAATCCACTTAACCGGTTAAAACCGAACTTAACCGGTACCATATCAGATCATACCGAAATACAATATACTAAGATGAGATCAACTAAATGGGTTCCATCGATTCCATCTTGATCTGATCAATAACATCACCATTCATCTTCCTACAATATATATATATATATAAAGCAAAGAATTTTATAATGTAGAACCCTAATTGGAGCAGCAGCCACCTTTCTTAACAGCAGAAACATCTTTACTCACATCAATCTTCTCTCCTTTGGAAGGAACATTCTCCTTCTCGTCACTTGCTTCCATCGCCTTCTTGCTCACGATACCGTAAATCTGCGTCAGAACTTCCGAAAATGCGTTCTCGACGTTCGTGGATTCAAGGGCCGAGGTCTCCATGAAGTAGAGAGATTCATTCTCGGCGAACGATTTCCCGTCTTCCGTCTGGACAGCTACGAGGTGGCGGAGATCGGATTTGTTGCCAACAAGCATCACTACAATGTTCGGGTCGGTATGGTCCCTGAGTTCCCTCAGCCATCTCTCCACGTTTTCGAAAGTGGAGTGTCGGGTTACGTCATAGACGAGAAGCGCTCCTACAGCTCCTCGGTAATAAGCGCTTGTAATGGCCCGGTACCTGTAAAACCCGTATGCAAGACTTTGTTATATCGTGAACCTATATGTATATAAGAACTGAAAAGCTTACAACTTTGACCGACCAAATGCTGGAAAAAAGTGTATACTAAATACCCATTAGAAGATATGGCCATACAAGCACAATGCTCTCAGTTTCAGAGATAGAAGATGTTAAAGAGTAGCTGGCAGCTAAATATAGCACAAGTACAAGATCCAGTAAAGATATTTGGCCAAAAATAGAAACTTTAGGCAGCCAACCTTTGGAAATTTCACTAGCCAACACAACAACAGTAACAGTTCAAGAAACACATTATCTAGCAATCATCCATATATGAGATGATCAACAAAACGACAGAAATCAAAGAAAGTAGATTGTTTCAGACATAGGAACTGGGTGCATCTCCACAACAACAAAGCGGGATTAAGGAACAAACAAAGCTCAAACTCCTAAACCAAAGCCATTAAGGTGAACAGAAATTCATTTAAATTTACAGAGATTATTCACCAAAAACATGCAGAATTGTATTAGTTTCTTCAGCTATGAGTCCTACTTGATGAAAAAGCTTCATGTTTGTAACCAGAATCCTGAAAAGAACAGTGAAACTGGCAGGTTAAAGCATCTTAGGACAACTGTTTCTAAGATCTAACCGATCCACAAACCAGTAAACGATCCAGATCTCATATTCCCCGAAATCTAGCTAAAGCTCTTAAGTTCAGATCGATCGCTACAAATCCAACGAAAAGTGCAAGAGAAACCATTTCAGAACTGCATAAAACCCACCTGACCCAGGAAAATTTTCGACCGATCCATCTGCAGAAAGATTTGAAATAGCAACAGGAGACGAAATTTCCCACCTAAAATTTTCTGCTTAACCTAGAGGATCTTTCTAAAATGAATCCACGATAAATCTGAGACCAATACCAAAAAAAACTGGAAAAAACAAAATCCAGATCACGGAAATGCAGAAGCGAATACTGGAAATGGGAAGATCAAACCTTTCCTGGCCAGCAGTATCCCAAATCTGGGCCTTGATGATCTTCCCATCAACAGTCAAGCTCCGAGTCGCGAACTCGACGCCGATCGTGGATTTGGATTCGAGGCTAAACTCGTTCCTGGTGAACCGCGAGAGCAAATTGGACTTGCCCACACCCGAATCACCGATCAGAACCACCTTGAAAAGGTAGTCGTAGTCGTCATCTGCTCTGTAACCCGCCATTAACGCTGCTCAATAAAAAGCTTAACTTCGACTGACCCACGTCAAGAAAAACACCGATTTCCACTCTGATCTGGGAAATCGAACAGAGAAAGAGGAACCCTTTACCTTAACTTCGACTTTGCTTTCTATTACTTTTTGAAGATTTTCCCAAATTTTTTTAAACAAAAAGACGAAGCCTAGAAATGGGGAAGACTCGTGTTTTTTTTTGGCAAACGAAATGACCAAAAGCACCTCTCTGAGCAATATGATATTGATTGTTTGAGTTGGGGGGTAATCTGGGCATTTCACATATGAGTTTAGATTTGTTTTCTAGATTTTATTTAAAATGTGACAAAGCGATCAAATATATTTTAAAAAGAACTAAAATTTCTAAATCGTAATATAAAATATTCTAATAACTATAATTTCCACACCTCCATTATTTACACAAAAATCCATAGAGAATTTGTCAATTTTGTCATGACGTCAAAGCCTCTCTTCATGGACCCTCCATAACAATCTCCATCTCCATCTTCTTCACAGCCATTCTCTTACAGAAACTCCATAAATCAGAAAAGAAACCATATTTCTTGTCCCCTCTTGAATCTTATAGGTAGATTTCGACGTATCATCTTTTGTATCTCCATTACATTGTGCAAAAACGTGTATATATATATATATATATACATACAGATATACAGAGATCATCTCTGCAACTATCTCGGTTCTGTTCCTCTGTTTCATGGTGAGTCGCCATTTGATCATTAGACAGGAACACCACTTGGCTCCAACACTTCTTTCCCGGTGATCCCATCCTTCAGGTTCTTGAAGTACACATCGTAGTCTTTCTCCGGTGGTGGATTCTCAAGATCCACCGTGAAGGGCTCACTGAATGGAATCGTGCTTTTCACCTGAAAACACACAAAAAAAAGCTGTCTTTTAGACATCCGGACAGAACCCAAAACCCGAAAACCCGAAAAAATGACTTCTTTTCCACATTCATGTCCCGAGCGAATGGCATAAGATCTATACGAGATATTATATGTAAAGGAATACGAAATGTATGTTAACCTCGAAAGTCTTGTCGAGAGCATATGGACTGTCCAATGCAGCAATGCATATAAGGGCGACCTCTTCTCTCGATACCTTCCCCTATGCATTGTGGAGGAAGTGATGGATTAACACCGATAAGATGGAGAAAACATACAGATTATCGGTGTTTTCAAGGGTTCGGTTCGAATTACCGTGATGTTGTCTCCTTGATCGAAGATGAGATCAGCTCCTGCCGGCTCTTCTGTCAATGCACATGGTCGTACTATTGCATACGGTATCCCGCTTTCGCGTATCGAATCCTCCCCCTGCCCATAAACAGAATGAAACCTCTCGACTCGAAATTAAGACACGGTAATGTAAACGCAAGTCTTTTTAACGATGAAAAGATCCAAACCTTCAACTTGAATGTGAGAATGAAATCCAATTCCTTGTTTAACCTCACAGCAGGAGGCTGTTTGCTGAGATCCAAACCGGGTCTGTCTGGACGGGTGACCCCTGCAGAGCTGACATGAACAAACCTGCACAAAAAAAAAACAGTTAGATTGTCATGTTCAGACAAGGGTTTGCCTTAAACCAACAATGTAATTCCTCGATAAAAAGATGTTTAAACCTCGGAGTGACGGGTTCTTGAATATAAGCACGAATGCTTGATAAGGGCAACTCGAAAGGCCCGTCCTTGAAAGTAGGGTTAAGCTGCCCGTCGTATTCAAATTTGCTGAACATAAGCTGGAAAGTCCGATAGCATTATCAGATGTTATTCGGTATTTTGATCAGTACTGATAAATCTTTGAGGTTTCTTGTTCGAACATTACAAATAGTACGGACCTGGAACGAAATGATATTAGCTGCATTAAAGGGCGGTGCATCGGAGATAGTCCGGGCACGGAATACAGGTCTTAAAGACGAGAAGGGTATACGTATCTGTGAGAAAAAGCACGGGATATCAGAAACTATAAACTTCATTCAGATGGAAAGAGATTGTAAATTTTCGTAATTCACTTACAGATTGCCATTTTCCTTCTTCAGTGTCGAAACTTGCGGTATAACCAATAGTATCCCAATCCCGACTCGTCCTGATAAGAAGCTTGTAACGGAGTCCATTGCCTTTAAGCCGTAACTCCAGGCCATCATATGCAGAAAGATCCTCGGCCTCGGGAAAGTTCTGTGTAGAGATGAAAAAGCCTCTTGGTTAAAAGCGAAAACACAAGGAAAATGAACGATAAGATAAGATTTTGATGTAAATCATACCCTTTACCTTTGTTCGAATACTCGCAAAACCGCCATTGTTTGCCGTCGACACAACTCCTGCAAAAAAAAAAAAAAGACATGCTATATATTAACGATCCCCGTAATAGCATAAGCCCAATGTCATTTTTTTCGGTGAATGAAAAAGGAGTTGGACAGAATGGAAAAGATCCAAACCTCTGAATATTCCGGTCGGCCCGTCGTTCTCCCCGGATGTTAGATCGAGCAGAAATGTACTTTCGCTCACACCTCCCATTACAACGTCATCCAATGCACCCCAAGGTAGATCTTTAAAAGTGTTATCTATACAAAACGCAATGATAATACATACATTCACAAATATCGCCGTGTTAATAGAATCGACGCATAAGTTCAAATCGGGAAAAAAACAGCCGTTTCCGATACCTCCGACCCCAAAAAGAAGTTTCCCGTTCCGAAGTCCAACGCCCTCCTTAACGGCATTGATCAAGTTCTTCATTCCAACATATTCGACCATTTCAGGGGAATCGCCTTTTATCTATATAAGAATCATCGAACATGAATGATATATCATTCCATAAATTTTAGGATTTTCAGACATAAAGCACAGAACGTGAACACTGAAGAACTTAGTTCATCACCTCAGGCTCAAAGAACTTGACCCCCTGCCAAAAAAAAAACACATGTCCAAACATGTAAATTTACTAACAGCACATTCTTGTGTGTGTGTGTGTATATATATATATATATAACAGAACTCGTTATAGAAATTTGCATACTTGGCTGTATTTTGCTCTTTCAGGAGTATCTCCTTCCTTTGGACCGACTATAACAGAAACAGCATTAATCACTTTCCTTACTCCTTTGAACTTTTCAGGAACAAGAGTGTTTTCCTTCGTAATGTCTCCGACAATCTGACAGCATCGAAGACGTTAGTCCCAAAAAAAAGTCATTAGCCCGTTTCCGAGATCATGAAAATGGATAGTAAACAGTTAAGAAAAAACTCCCAAGGCAAGCTGAAAACCCTACTGAAAAGTATGATTCCGGGAAGAAAGCTCACCAGATCAATGTCAGGTCCTAACATCTTCCGGGCCTTCTCTTCATTTCTGACCTGAGAAAGCGAATCATACCCGGAAAGCTTGTCACATTGTCAGGATCAGACCAAAACTCATTAAACAACAACAACAACAAAAGAGTATGCTTTTAAAAACATCTGAAGATTAGTACCAATGCTTTGACAGGTAACCCTTTCTTCATCAGTATATCAACTACTCTCCTTCCTACACCACCGGTAGCACCAGCGACGAGTATGACCCCGGACGTCTCCATCGCCTTTGGTGGTTCCTCCGGTGAACCGTTAGTAAGTTTCTCAATCACTGATGCAACAAACTTCACGGGCAAGCACACTCAATTAGCCGACGCCTTGTTCTGTGTAACACTATACATAATCTAACGAGAAAGATTCATATATACCTTGAGAGGAGACGGAGGTCCATTAAAGAAGTATACCGTTTTCAAAAATCTACCAAAGTTCCAACCTTGCAGCTCGGATACAGCCGTTGCCCGCCGGTTATGAGGCCTTAGGTACACAGAATATGAAACTTGACCGTAGTGAAGATGCCGGCTTCTGTCATTAAGTTGAAGAAAGGGTTTAGGAAGTGGACTGAGCTTAGAAAATTTTACATCAATAGGTGAGGAAGAACCCTGCAATTTTGTTCCAGTCGGTCTCAGAGTCACTTAACAAATAAATACAAATAAGAAACCGAATTTCGAAGAAAACATTCTAATGAAAGAATTCTGCACACTACCACTGGAGAACAGATCATTTTTCTTTGAATCCCTGAAAGATAGATTCTTTACACTGTAATACATACATATACATATACATATGCATATATACACACAAACTAAAATACCCAAAGGAAAACTTCTATAATAGAAGATCTCAAGTTCGAGCTAAAGAGGCAAATAATACAGAAAAAAAAACTGAAGGAAACAACAAATCACCATCAAACCTAGAGATTATACAGCCAATTCAGGATTCGCACCCAACAAATCCATCAAACAAAAGTAAAAGAGTGATAAAAAGGAGAGTTACACAAAAGAAAAAGGGTTAAAAACCTGAATGTTGAGGATGGGAGGCGATAATGGAGATGAAAGCTTGAGAGAGCATAGAGCCTCCATTACTTTTCTCTGGAATGAAGCTGGAACAATCCGAAGCGGGACTGATTTTTATTTCTGGAGCCGAAAGAGATTATAGACCACACGCGGGGGACTCTCTCAACGGTTCGGTTTTCCGGTTCGCTTTTGTCTACCAGACCGGGATTATTGTGTCGAATCCCGGTATGGTAGCTATGAAATTGACAAGGGTTTTCGAAAATTGGGCCGGAACTAAGGCCCAATACAGAATATAAGTAAAATGTAAAAATCACTGTTGCGTCTGCCGGGAGTCGAACCCGGGTCTATTGCTTGGAAGGCAATTATCCTAACCGTTGGACTACAGACGCTGTTGTGATTGTGACAATGAAACCAGATTACAATTAGAAACAAAAACCCCATTATAAAACTGCACAGTGATCAGTGTCGAAACAGAGCCAAAGGGACGGCGACTCTCGGAAGTCCCGCTGACTCCTCCGCCGGTTCTCCTTGCCGGGAATCCCACGGACTCCGACGTAACCCCGCCTTCAGGTCTTTCAGCTCCGTCCTCTGATCGTCGACGACGTCCGGTCCTCCGCTCGCAGCCGGCCGTCGATTTTCTGCTCGTATTCCATCGTCTTCTTGGTGGACAGTTAGATATTGTGATAAACAGTTGACTGTTCCGAAAATGGGGTGCATCGGATCGTCGCTTGCCAAATCCGACGGAGGAGGTGACTGAGATTGCTCCTTGCCCTCGATTTTCGCTCCTTTTTATCTCTTGCTCGTTTAAATTTTTTGGCTTGTGTGTAGGTTTAGGGCTTATCTAATTCGATGTCGATCGCTGATATTATGCTAGAAATTTGATTTATGTCGGAGAATCTGGTTCCGTTATGTTCTTCTTTCGTCTTACCGTGATCCGTGGAGTAATTATGAAGAAAATCGTTCTTTCGAATGATTTAGGGGTTACATTGTGGTAAATTTGCTGTAATGCATGGTTGATCATTTTTTGAATCATTGACATTTCTTCCTTGCTGTTACATTTGTTAGTTTATTTTGCGTTGTTCTATCGTTCAAGGGAGAACCAGGCTTGTGCCAATTACTCAACAGTCCTAGAGTTTGGATACCTTGCACATGCGTTTGCATCAATGTGAGGGCTGAATTGTATGCCAGATCAAAGGATTGTGTGTAGGATTGTATATGTAGTTTGATCATTTTGGTAAAAGATCTTACAAGGATCTGAACATAGGTCGAACAGTTTCTTGCCACATCCATCTAATGGCACTCTGCTTCTTTTTTTTTATCCGTGCATACGCAACACGTGGTAATGTTTCTGAATGGCGTCATCGAAACAGACTCGTAACGCACTTGCCATAGAAAGCTCGTTGTAACGTGCCTTTTACCAAAAGATTTTAGCTTTTCTATGATTAGGAGGATCTAGGAATTCTTATCATTTTGTTTTGCCGCTTATCCTTTGTCATGTCCGATGGTAGCTGCATTGATAACTTCTTGGAAAATGTTTTGACATACATGACTCAGTTTTGCATTCATGTTGGTGAAAATTACGCAGAAGTTATGCTTACTTATTTGGGTGAAGTTGTTTTGCTTGAAAATAGCCTGTCGTCATTGTAAAGTGTGCGTAAATCTTAGTGATAGTGTTTTCTGAGTTTATCATTGAATGCTGAAAGAGAGAAAGAAGAAAATCGAGAAACCAAAACCCTGGGCACATTCTGAGCCAATCACTTGGGCACATCTTGTAAAGATGCGAGAAGAATTCTGGGACACTGCTCCGCACTATGGTGGTCGAAGAGGTATCTTTCTCTTGTACTCGTTTTAGATGTTTTCAACCGCGAAGAAAAGAAATGTTTGGAATGTCTTTTTCTTAAAATAGCAAACCCCATTCTCCATTCTCTAAATTTGGGGGTTTTCCACATAGGAAATGTAGTCGATGTAGGATCTGTGTATAAACTGGATTTCACTTGCCTTGAGGCCCAAATAAACGCAAAAGATCTCTTAATATATAGCATTGGCATGCCCTATTTTCCATTTTTTGATTTCGTCCAATGGCTCTCATTCATATGCAAATCAACTTGTCTACTCTCGTATCGTATCGAATCCAGAGATATGGGATGCCCTCCGAGCAGCTGCTGAAGCTGACCTGACAATGGCCCAGGCAGTTGTGGATAGTGCTGGAGTGATTGTTCAGAACAGCGACCTTACAACGTGTTACGACGAAAGAGGTTTGTAAAACGATTTTTTATCTCTTGTTACCGTCATATGAACTTTAGGTTAATACAGCTAATTCGCTAATGCAGGTGCGAGATATGAGCTTCCGAAATACGTTCTGAGCGAGCCAACAAACCTGATCAAGGAGGACTAATGACAATTAACATTCAATCAAATAAGGTACAAAAGAACATATAAGAAGAAGAAGAAGAAGAAGAAAGAGTTTTGAATAACACTCTTAATTAACGCATAAGTTTTATCACTTTAAGAAGCATATAAACCTCAATGTTAAAGAGTAACAGTAGAACAGGGTCTTGGCTCAGCTTTGCTATTTTAGCCTCCATTTTCCCATTGAGATTGAATAGGTTGATTTTGATATGGGCTTGTCTTAAATCATTTGTCATTTATATATATATATATATATAGAGAGAGAGAGAGAAGCTTATTATTATGTATATGGCACATATATATAATCTCCATCTCATGATTTGGTTGACCCTTTTGATCTTCAACCACATTCGATTGGGAAAAGAAGGATATAACATATGTTTTGGTCACGAATGTTTCAATGGTTGAGCAATGAAATTAGCACAGGTTTGGTCCTCGTCCCGCGGGGGTTAGGGCGTCTGGCTTTCACCCTTGAGACCCGGGGTTCGATTCCCGGCCTCGGTATATTTTTTTTCCTTTATCAAATGAAAAAAATAGAAAGATAGTCTTTCTCACTCTTAATCATTTCCTCATAAATGCAATGAGATGTCTTTTCCCCGTTTGAAAACGCCCATGACGTTCTTCATAATTTCTTAGAGAATTTATTACGTATCAGACAAAACACAACAAAAATAACTAATTTATTATGTAAATGGTTACACCACTATTTTATTTTATTTTTTTAGTTTTCGAAACGTGTTCACATTTTCTCCGCATGTTTGCATCGATTTGAGATTTTCTTGTGTGACTTGTATGTATACACCTAGACCTAGTTGTATTATTATTTCAGGGTAAAATCCAAAAATAAAAATTAAGGTTGTAACAGAAGGAAACACAGGCAATAGGACGAAATAACAACATCCCCGGAACCGTGAGAGTAACGCTTTGTTCTGCGGCCTGCCCATCACTACTACTAACCTTCACCACAGAAGATGACAAAAGGTATATAACCCCTTTTGCTCTATAGAAGACAAAATCAATTCCCACTATTTTGTTGGTGGAGAAAATGATAAATAAGGGATGGGGGTTTCTTTTTATTATTCCTTTATACCCTTTCGGATGTCATGATGGTATCACCCAAATTGCAAATTTGCAAATTGCTTGAATGATAAGTCATGATGGAAGGGATATAAAAGACCCCTCTCTTTTTTTCTTCAGTACATGTGGAAGAGAGGAATTGAATCATAATGTGAACAAGTTTGGTGATGATACACTACAAAAACCATACCTCAAGTTAGGTGTTAGTATGGGAAATGTAGCTGTTTCTCTGGTTAGGACCACCACACAGGTTCCTGGAACTACCCAAATTTGTGCCCTTTTCCTACAGACCCTTCAATCCAAAGTTCCAATCTTGAATGTTAACCAAATCGATCCCAAGTGTACCCTCTCCATAAAATGTAATTTTCAGCGCTGAAAACAAACCGAATATGCCCAAAAAGGACTAACCTTTCATGCCATCTTCAATCTGGTAAACTGCATAGGCCTCCAAAGTCTTGAGCTTTCTTCAGTTTACTAATCACTAAAACAGTTAGAATTAGGATGGATAATCATAAGAGTGTCATGGTAAGAGAATAGATCTTTCTTTTTTATAAGAGCCAAGCTCTATCATCAATGAAGTTTGGTCTGATCCCTTCACTCTAATAGCTGATCTGGTCCCCTACTTGGCATAAATTCTAGAACAAACCCGCTGGATGTAAAACCTACATAATAGAAAAAGAGAGAGAGAGAGAGCTTTTTGGAAAAGTGGTCACAGGATTCTCAGGCAGGTCTTTCTTTTTCAAACTGCACCTCACCCTTACCCGTAAGACATACCTTCATCCCTTATTAAACACAGCCCTAACCGTCCCACTACACTAACAGCTACAAACCCTCCATTTATCATCCCGTTTTCTCATCTGGTTCTGTTGAAACCCAGGAAAAAAAACAAAGACAAAAACTTTCAGCTTCTTTGGAACAAATTTAAAAAGTTTTCGGGGTTTTTTTTTTCTGTGGAAGTGGTCGAATGATGAGGTGGGGAAAAAAGAAACCTGCTTCATCTGCCTCTTCTTCAGGATTGTCCCGTGCTGTACCTGTTTCTTGGATTTCCAAGTTCAGTGGAATGAGCATTGCTGGTTCTGACTCGAAACCTGCAAGGGAAAAGAAGCAAGATGGATCTTGGAAGAATATGTCTTCAGGTTCTTCGTTAAGTTGTACTAGACATCAAAATGATAGGTGTACCCATAAGGGTGGTAATGGCTTGCATAGATTACCTGCAGGGAGAGACACTGCTGCAACAATGTCAGGAGGGAACGAGGCAGTTGGTGAATTAGATTTCCCCGTCACAAGCTCTCGGACCTGTAAAACAAGTGCAATTACATCAAATAAAGTAGAGCCTGGTAAGAAGCTTGAAGATATGATGAACAACGTGCAGAAGATAAGAAGAGAAATCCAGAGGGAGACAGATGGATTTCCTGATATTGATGCAAGGGAAAGTAGAAGAAGAAAGAGTTTTGAATAACACTCTTAATTAACGCATAAGTTTTATCACTTTAAGAAGCATATAAACCTCAATGTTAAAGAGTAACAGTAGAACAGGGTCTTGGCTCAGCTTTGCTATTTTAGCCTCCATTTTCCCATTGAGATTGAAACAGAGATAAGCAGAAAGGGGAGAGGCGTGACCAAATGCTTCTCGAGCAGAAGCAACAGAGGTCAGAAAGGAAGGAAAAAGATGTTGACATGAAGGCCAAGAAATCAGCGAGAAGAACAGGTTCAGGCATTGGAGGAAACCTTGAGTTCCTAGAAGCTGGTTGGAATCGACAAGTCCATGGCCCCTCCATGAATGCAGGAACTGACAGCAGAGCTGCACTTACAGAAGATTCATTGTTTGTCTCTCATAATCTTCAAAAACCTGCTCATCAATGGCAAAAGCTCAAAGAAACAAAACTAAAAGAGGTGAAGCTGAAAGCTGAGAAACAGAGAAAATCTCTGTATATAAGAAGAGAGCTAACCAGAGTAGGAACAAAAGAAAACAGCAGACTTAGAGTTTTTTCCCCGAGACCATCCCCCAGATCTGAAAAATGCAGAGTTAAAGCCATTGAAGACTTGAAGAAGGCTAAACTTAGAGCAATTGAGCACAGGGATTATTTTATTTTTTTAGTTTTCGAAACGTGTTCACATTTTCTCCGCATGTTTGCATCGATTTGAGATTTTCTTGTGTGACTTGTATGTATACACCGATCCTCAAAAGGACTTCAGAGATTCAATGATCGAGATGATAATGGCGAATGGTATCAGCCGACCAGAGGAACTCAAAGAGCTTCTGGTCTGTTATCTAACACTAAATAGTGATGAATACCATGACATGATCATCAAAGTGTTCCGAGAGGTATGGAGCGAACTGAAACATCAACCTTTTCATGAAGATGTGCGGAGTAAACAAGTTCTTCACAGTTCTTTCGCACAAGAATTGGACACTGAATAACTTAATTTAGGCTCCTATGATGTAACTCTTTACTCTTCTAATTTTATGCTTCCTTGTTTTGCTTATAAAGTTTATATCAATGCCTCACGAGAAAGCAATTTGTACACACTGCTATGTCATGAACAGCTTCGGCAAATTTGAACAAGGAATCTTCATAGAAGGGAATACGCAGAAATTTAATAGAAGCTTAAATGTCGAAAAAATTAAAAACTTACACTATGACATTGAGCAATCCATTTTCTTGTCATGCCAATCAACTCTTTTGCACCTCAGGGGTCTCCAGGTGGAAAGCTCGTTTTTTTTTTTTTTACCGATATAGATGGAAGGAGAGATCGTCTATCCCCCCACTGATCAAGAATCCCTCAGTTAATCAGGCTCTTTGTAGGGTTGAGACAGTAAAATCTTATTCTTTCGTCTCAAAATTCTCAAATTTCGTCGGCTATGAGTCCTTCACCAGCTAAGAACTCATGGACAATCCCATCCACTTCAATCATGCTGCATCCAGGCTTCTTGCTTAATCTCTTGGCTCTCATCTTTCTTCTCACCTCCATAACCTCATCCCATCTCCCACTAGAGGCATACAAGTTTGACATCTGAACATAACCTGAACTCTCCTCTGGATTCAATTCCACTAGCCTCATAGCTATACGCTCTGCCATTTCCATATGACCAAACCTTTTGCAAGCACCCAAGAGAGATTCCAAAAGGACCGGAGCACTTTCTGGTGGAATTTTGCTCACAAGTTCTTCCGCCTCCTCGACTTTTCCCATCCTACCAAACAAATCCACCATACAACCATAGTGTTCAACAGTTGGCTCGATCCCGTAAACACGTTTCATCATGCCAAAAAGTTCTCGACCTTCATCTAACAATCCCGCATGGCTACAGGCTGATAGAACACCGACAAATGTCACATTGTTCGGTTCAAACCCTTCAAGAAGCATCTCAGAGAAGATACCTAGAGCGACTTTTCCAAAGCCATGGATGCTTAAACCCGATATCATCGAATTCCATGTACTCACATCTTTCCTCAAAGTTGCTCTGAACACTTCAAGAGCCTTATCGATTTTCCCGCATTTGGAATACATGTCCACAAGTGCAGTAGCCAAAAACCCATCAATGATAATTCCTTGCTTATCTATATGCACATGAACCCATTCACCTTGATTCAAAGCTCCAAGATTGGCACAGGCCGACAAGACATTAACAAGAGTACAACCATCCGGTTCATCTTCAGAATTCAGAATCTCCCTGAAAAGTTCTAAAACTTCAGAATATAAACCCGCGTGAGCATAACCAGTTACCATTACATTCCAAGAAACGACATCTTTACACGGCATGGCATCGAAAAGCTCTGCAGCTTCCTTGACCAATCCCGAAGCCATGTACCCAGAGATCATAAAGTTCCATGACTCGAGATTCCTTTCCTCCATTTCATCAAACAACTCACGAGCAGTTTCCACCAAACCCTTATCTAGGTAAACGCTCAAAAGAGAATTCCACGAAACAGCATCTCTTTCGGGCATTTTATCGAGCACTTTATGTGCGAGCTCGAAGTGACCACTTCGGCCATAGACATTGACCAAGGTATTCTCCACAAACACGTCAGGCCCAGTTCCAGTCTTCAAGAAAAGACCATGAATTTGCCTTCCTTCTTCGTACCCTTCAAACCCTGCACACGCCTTCAACACGAACGTGAAGCTGTACTTGTCGGGAAGAACCGGGCCAAGCAGCATTTCGCGAAACACATCCAGGGCGGTCTCCGGGGTAGAACTATTAGCATAAGCTCTGATGACGGAGTTGTAGCTGAAAGAATTAGGGTTTTCGACGCGACGAAGAATCGAACGAGCGTAAGAGACTGTAACAGGATCGGGGTTTACGGCGGAGAAAGCAATGAGCTTGCTTGCGGAGAAAGCATCACGAAAAATACCAGTCTTGAGCATATATGCATGAGCTTGTTGGATCTCTGAGAGAGATTCGGCTTTCTCTGTAAATGACAGAATCGATGATGACGATGAACAAGCACTCATTTTTCTCACCTCCACCGTCTCTCGACTGAAGGGTTTAATCAACAAGAGGAAAACGAAAAACACGACAGTTTCTTTCTGCTTGTGGGTTATATATATTTGTTCAATTTTTTTTCTAAATGGATAAGATTTTTGGCGACACGATTAAGGATCCGAACTGAGAATCAAAATCGACATCAAGCACATTCTAAATGTGTTCAGTTCATCAATAAAGACTTCACCACCTCCATGACTTGAGAACCATAAAGAAGCATCCGCGTCACAGAAGAAAACAATGGCGATTCCACGGTGTTCTTAGTCGATGTTTAAGCAAGAAGACATTGCAGTACAATGGATGTACAATACTCGCAATACCCAGAACTAAAGAAACTGCCTTTCAACCGAATCACAAACAAGGAAAGTACATCACCGTGAGTGAAGATCAATCTAGATCACGCCTGATACATGATTATGTAACACCGTCTCCTATAGTAGAGCGAGAACTAGACCAGCATGTGTCTGAAAAACGATAAACTACAAACCTATTTTACAATGGATGTAAGGTAAGAATCGTACCTAAGTGTCCTATTCTTGTGGTAAAGAAGCTAATATCAGATTCTCTCTGCAGAAGTGAGATGCCCCATCTGTTCTGTAAGTGTATTTACATTCCCTGAATTCCACCAAAACTTCCCGCCATCGCCCGTCTTACCATCATTCTCGACCTTCTTTGCTTCCACGGCGTCTTTCCTCTCTGACTGAGCTTCCTGATGATGCCCGTTTGAACCCGGGTTCTCTGTCAGAAACTGCTCCCAGAAGACATCATTCACCCCGGAGGGTGGAGGAGCCGTGGTGTTACCAGCCGGCTGTTCTTTAGAAGAAATGGGCTCGGAGTTCATGTCAATAATCCTTGGAGATCTCGGAGATTTCGAACGGGATTCGACGTTTACGGCTAAGCAAGATATAGACGGGCTTTCTGCACAACTAGCGGATTCATCAACCTCAAGGTCCATGCTTGACCGGACGAGACTATCACCGACATCTGATACAAGATTCTCCCAAAGGGCTAGAGATGAATCTAGCTGCTCAACCTGTTCGGCGTGCAATGGGCTGGGAGGAGAATTTTCTCTGCCAGTTCTTTGAGCAGTACATGCTTGGTTCTCTTCCTTCCCTGGTTCATCGTGCAAGTACCCAATCCCGGGAAACCTTCTTTTTCTATCGTTTGTTTCGAAATTTGGTGAAAGATTCAAGGCAAGCCCCGGTTTCTGCAAAACCTGAGAAACAAACGAGACCATTGATTTCTGTCGTTGCTCCATATGTTGCAACCGGTCCTTCATGAGGTTCACTTGCAGCTCGAAGCCTTTTCGTTCCTGCTCCTTCTTATGTAACTCGGCAAGTAAGCCCTCGTTCTCTTTTTCCAGTCTCTCGATTTGATCCTTCATGATCTGACGCTCCGACTCTGTCAGAGTATTTTGCCCCTGCAGATTCTGCAAGGAGTGGCTGTGAACTGGTTTTCGCCTGTGAATGTTCTTCAAAAGGTGAGGCTGCCCCCTTACAAAACCGTCGTTGGCGAATTCCCATTTCTCGGGGTCGATTTTTCTAAAACCCTACAAAAGGAGTTGCAAGGTTAAGACAGGAAACATCACGCGGAGCTACAAGATAAACATTCGCCAAACAATCCACGCAACTTACATAAGTATTAAGCTGGCGGATGAAGCTGGAGAAATTGTTGTGCTTGAAGAATCTCGGGAGGAGATCTCTGGAAAACTCGGGTGGGTTCCAAACGATAAAACTTTTGTTGCCATGGCTCCACGAGACGATCGAATCAGTAGAAGGATCATCCACCATCTCATATGTTTTAGCAAGGAATGGAGGAAGTGAGCTCGAACCTCCTTGATTCTCATCCATACCTTAAAAACTTCAAATCTACTCTCAGGAAATTCCTCAAGAACCCTAGCAAGGGTATTGCAAAAGCTTGAATCAAACCCTAAAGATGGTATTTGAGTTGACTCCTCGATCAGCTTTAACAAAATACCACGGAACCAGGGGAAGAAACTTCAACCAGAATGATCCCTTCGATTCGACGATTCCAATATCAGGAACTTACAGTTCAGAATTCGAGGAATTCGTATTCAGGAGCTTGAATCGATCCCGAGAAAACCTATTCAGAAAACCCAGAACTCTCAACTAAAGATTCCACCTAAACCCCGCATTGTCTGAACGTGATACCGATCAAACCCACAAAAAAAAAAGCTTCGAACTTTAGGCCCCGCAAAAAACCCTAACCCAAAACCCACAAATTTTTCTTCCCAAATTCCACGAGGGCGATGCCCTTTTCCCATTTATCCCACCGAAACAGAAAGAAGACAACGGAGAATTCAAAGCAATCAATGATATTGTTTGTCCTGCTGCTACAGAAGCAGAATTATCAAACTGGGGGAAAGACCAGGAAAAGTAAACGACTCGATTGACCCGGTGTCGGAAGGACCGCACAAGTGCAGTTTGATTGAAGATTAAGCGCTTACCAACAAGGATTAAGCAAAAGTTATCGGAATCGTGAACAGGAGGCCAAGAACAGAGCTTGATCTCCGACCATTTCTGGGGATTCTTGTTTTGCTTCCAAGCCTTGAAGCGCGTAATTAGATTTAGATCCTTGCACAGTTGTATAAAGGCAAGATTGGATTTTTTTTTTCAGTATTTATTTTTTGGGGGGTTTGGTGGTATTATTATCCCCACAGCTGTTTTTTTTTTAAATTGCTTATAAATTTAAATAACAATTTAATATAACAGAAATATATATATATATATATATATATAATATGTTAATAGTTGGTCAAATTTTCTAAATTTGACATTATTTTTTCCACGAATCGGGAAAAATGATATATGTATTTATGGCTACGTGCGTGGGCATCAAGTTTCTTAGTCATCACGTTCAAATAAAGCGTTGACTTTTGACTTTCTAAACATGTCCATATTGGATTTATAACCTAAAACAATATGATAATCGACGTTTGGCATTATTAGGTTATATTTGATTGTAATTAAAAAAAAATACGCATGATCGTAAATTTAGCGAATTCTAAATAAATTGCAATAAGAATACAATTCTATGCAAAACACATATAATTAAACCAATTTGTCCTAAGACACGTGGCCATTTGTGGGAAATATAGCTGAGAAAAATCGTTCAGTTTCTAATCATTTTATTTAATTTATTTATTGATCGATTGTCGTGTAGATTTGATATGATTTAATAATAAGACATAGAGAAAAATTGGACTGATTACTTTTATGTAGGTGCTATTACGGAGAATCAGTCATAGAAGGGAAAATCTGTTTTGATTATAATCTTTTCTTAACTGTATCCTAAATTATAGGCAACCCAATGCTGTATATATTCCTCTGTAAAGCTCATATCTATAATGTGAAATTCATTCAAACCTTAAATGGTATCAAGAGCTGGTTCGTCGAAAGACTAAATCACCCTTCCAGCCCTAATTTTTTTTTTTTCCTCCTTCTTCCACTGCCGATCTATTCTCTTTCCGTCTCGTTCTTCTTTCAACAGCGCCAATGGCCACTGATGGAAGCTCTTCCAACAATGGCAACCAAGCCACCCTCCCCAATGAGACCGTCACCCCATTCAATACCGAAAATCCCTCGCAAACATTGATCAATATCAATGTTTCCAATGTCTCCAAGTTAACAGCCACCACCTATATCCCTTGGTCTGTCCAAATCCGAGCATTGTTACAAGGCTACAATCTTGCTGGATTTCTCGAGCCCGATGCTGCTCCTCCAGCAACCATCACTGCGAACAATGCAGTGACTGCCAACCCTGCTTATGAAGCATGGTTCCGTCAAGACCGGCTAATATTTGCCGCTCTCCTTGGTTCTCTCTCCACGTCGTGTCAGGCTCTTATCACCATGTCTTCGACATCAGCCCATGCCTGGAACACGTTAGCTACTACCTACGGTCGATCAAGCCGCGGTCATGTGAAACAAATCAAAGAGCAACTTCGTCGTTTTTCTAAGGGAACCAAGACTATCGACGAATACATGAATTTCTTCAAGGTAAAAGCCGATGAGCTTGCCCTTCTTGGAAAACCCATGGACCATGAAGATCTCATCGATCTCACACTCGCCGGACTTGGAGATGAATACAAAGCCGTAAAGGATGTGATTCAAGCAAAAGACACGACTATATCCTTCATTGAACTTCATGAGAAGTTACTCAACCATGAAGTGGATGTTCTTGCTTCTCAATCCACACACTCGGAGGTTCCAATCACGGCAAATGCCGCGACTCACAAGCCACGACAATCTGGTCGTCAGAACAACCGACAACAATATGATCCTCGGCTGCCAAAGACTTTCAACAATGGTCCGAGAGGATACCAAGGCAAATGCCAACTATGTGGGGTACACGGCCATAGTGCAAAGTTTTGTCGTCTTCTCCGTGGCAGCCCCGGTATCCTACCGAATCCTTCTTATGGCTTCAGCCAACATCATCCGTCACCGACCGTGAATGCAGCCGCGGTTGGTACAGCCAATTCCCCGTCATGGCTACTTGATTCCGGAGCATCTCATCATGTCACCACGGATCTCGCGAACCTCTCTCTACATGCTCCTTACACCGGCGGTGAAGATGTTGTGATAGGAGATGGATCGGGCCTCTCAATCGCACATACCGGTTCTATGTCCCTTCCCTCTACCTCTCGATTTCTTTCTCTTCATAATGTCCTACACGTTCCTACTATGCACAAAAACTTAATCTCCATCCAACAACTTTGTGATACTAACGATGTTTCTGTCGAATTTTTCCCGCATTCTTTTCAGGTGAAGGATCTCAGTACGGGGGCAAAAATAACAAGCGGACTGGCTAAAGACGGAGTGTATGAATGGCCGAAAACACCAACACCCGAGTCTGTCCGTTCTCATCCCACTTTTTCTGCTTTTTCTACCATCAAGACCACTTTGTCCGAGTGGCATTCTAGACTAGGTCATCCGTCTTTTGATACTCTTCGTAAAATAATCTCCGGGTTATCTCTTCCGTTGTCAAACCCGTCGAGTAAGTTTTTGTTTTGCAATTCGTGTTCTATCAATAAAAGTCACAAGTTACCTTTCTATGAGTCCACGGTTACTTCTTCAAAACCTCTCGAAATCATATACTCGGATGTTTGGACATCTCCAATTGAATCGATTGATGGTTGCAAATATTATGTTATTTTTGTGGACCATTTCACTCGATACACTTGGTTTTATCCAATGAAACGTAAATCCATGGTCTTTGATATTTTCACTCGTTTCAAACCCATTGTCGAGAATCGCTTCCAAACAAAAATAATTTCTCTTTATTCCGACAATGGAGGTGAGTATCTCGCCCTTAAAAACTTCCTTTCGAGTCATGGTATTTCTCATTTTACCACTCCGCCACATACCCCGGAACACAATGGGATCTCCGAAAGGAAACATCGCCATATAGTGGAAACGGGTCTCTCCTTATTATCTCACTCTTCTATTCCCCGGGAATATTGGACGTATGCTTTTTCCACTGCGGTTTACCTAATAAATCGCTTACCAACCCATGTCCTTAACAATCGATCTCCTTTCGAGTCTCTCTTTGGAACACTTCCAAACTACCATAAGCTTCGTACATTTGGTTGTCTTTGTTATCCTTGGTTACGTCCATATTCCCGACACAAACTTGATCCTCGATCAACTCCGTGTGTCTTCGTCGGTTACTCATTAACCCAAAGTGCCTATTTGTGTCTTCATATTCCCACTAGTCGACTGTATGTTTCTCGACATGTCGACTTCGTAGAAACACATTTTCCATTCGTGTCCCCTCTGTCTTCCTCCTGCCTTGTGTCTACCAATGACCCAGTCACTATGACTGAGTCACGTCCCACCTTAGTCCCATTTCGGCCATCGTGCACGCTGCCTGTCTCGCTAGTGCGGCCTCCCGTGGATTCTTCACCAGCTCAGAATGAGGAATCACATTCGGCAGCGTCATCTCCGCCTTCTTCATCGCCTCCACATCCAACCGACCAACCCGAAAACCCACCTGTACTTATACCATCATCTGAGCCACCCACTGAGCTAACCACCGAGCCTATACCATCCCCTCTCACAGTTCCCGCAAATCACCTACCTCAAAATACACACCCAATGACCACAAGAGCCAAGAACAATATCTCTAAACCATCCAAAAAGCTCACCCTAGCCACCTCTATCCAACCAACTCGTGACATAGAGCCAACATGTGTGACCAAGGCGCTCAAAGATCCAAAGTGGAGGAATGCAATGAATGACGAGTTCAATGCTTTACTTCATAATGGAACTTGGACATTGGTTCCTCCTCATTCCTCCTACAATGTTGTCGGTTGTAAGTGGGTTTTCCGGACTAAACGGCTTTCGGATGGTTCCATTGACAGGTATAAGGCTCGTCTCGTGGCTAAGGGATTTCATCAACGACCCGGTGTCGACTACACCGAAACATTCAGTCCGGTCGTCAAACCATCAACAATTCGGGTGGTATTAAGCATTGCTATATCTCGTGGTTGGATTCTCCGACAACTTGATGTCAACAATGCTTTCTTACAAGGCACTCTACATGAGGACGTTTACATGACTCAACCACACGGTTTTATTGATCGAGACAAGCCATCTTATGTTTGCAAGCTCCACAAAGCTCTCTACGGACTCAAACAAGCCCCACGTGCATGGTACAAGGAACTTTGCCAATTCCTTCTACAATCAGGTTTCGTAAATGCCCTCTCGGACACATCCCTCTTCATTCTTCATCACGGTGACATGTCCATCTACTTGCTTGTGTACGTTGACGATATAATCATCACCGGAAATCAACCAATGATGGTACGGAAGTACATTGACATGTTGGCCTCTCGGTTTGCTTTGAAAGACCTTGGCACTCTATCTTACTTTCTTGGAGTTGAAGTCACCGAAACACCAAAGGGTATGCTTCTCACTCAAGAAAGGTACATTACGGATCTCCTTAATCGTCATATGATGCAGGATGCTAAACCGGTTACAACACCAATGTCATCAACCGAGAAGCTCTCTCTCCACTCGGGAGCGACACTAGATGATCCTACCGAGTACCGTCAAGTTGTGGGCAGCCTACAATATCTCATGTTTACGCGTCCCGACATTGCTTATTCCGTCAACAAGTTGTCTCGCTACATGCATCGCCCAACTACGGAACATTGGCAAGCCGTCAAGCGTATCTTACGATATCTATCCGGGTCTCGATCTCTCGGTGTTGTTTACTCTCGTCACAACCCAGCGACTCTTCATGCTTATTCCGATGCGGACTGGGGCGGTGATCGAGATGATTACACGTCTACGGGAGCATCCATTTTGTACTTGGGCAGCCATCCAATCTCTTGGTCCACAAAGAAACAAAAATTCGCAGCAAAGTCCTCAACGGAAGCCGAGTACAAGTCCGTATCCTCGACAGCATCGGAAGTGGAATGGGTTATGTCCTTGCTCTCGGAACTCCGAGTACCAATTCCATCAACCCCGGTTATATATTGCGACAATGTGGGTGCAACGTATTTAGCGGCTAATCCCGTATTTCACTCACGGATGAAACACGTTGCTATTGACTATCACTACATTCGGGGCCTTGTAGAAGCCAAAAAGCTTCGTGTTGCTCACATTTCAGCCTCGGATCAGCTAGCAGACTTGCTTACGAAGCCACTCTCTCGGATGAAGTTCGACGCTCTCTCACTCAAGATTGGACTCTCAAGACCGTCCATCTTGCGGGGGCATATTACGGAGAATCAGTCATAGAAGGGAAAATCTGTTTTGATTATAATCTTTTCTTAACTGTATCCTAAATTATAGGCAACCCAATGCTGTATATATTCCTCTGTAAAGCTCATATCTATAATGTGAAATTCATTCAAACCTTAAAGGTGCATGCATATGTTATACCCGGACAAGTTGTCTAATCAATAATGGTTACCATATCCATTCCCACTTTTGGTTCGGGGCCAATTGGCAACTTCAACAGCCTCGGCCTATTTTTTTTTTTTTTTTATAAATTAGAAGATTTACTCAACATTCGCTCTATTTAATCTCGATCAATCTTTAATTATATAAATAATTATGTCTCCTTTTCCATTAATAAAATCGAAATTAAAATCTTGAAAAATATATACATATATATATATATATACATATAAGCCACGTTTCTTTAAAAAAAATCAGGACATCATTTGAATAAGTTGCACCATAATCTACGTCGTGACAAATGAAACTTGAATTTGATAATCTACTAACAATAACTATTCGGTTTTGTTTTTTATTTTTCGTAAATGATAATAGATTTGAGGTTTTGTATGAAGATCGCTAGTAATACATCAAGACAGCGCATGCAATTATTGCATGGGAGGAGTATGTACATGTAATTAATGATTACAAAATATGATGGTCGAAAGATCGGTTGATACTATACAACAACAGAATATAATAATAGATCTATACTATATTTTCACCATATTATAAATAAATCTAAGGAACCAAACAAAATAAGGTTACGAGTTTCAGCGTACATAACTTATTATCTCATAATTTCAACATGGACCAACTAATACTGCATGCACGCATGCATAAAAACCGAACGTTTATTACCTCTCTAAAATCGAATTGAACTAATAAAAAAATAACTTTTATACCGATAAAAAATCGAATCCGAACTGAACCGAAATAAAAACGATTCGAACCGATCCGAAGTTAAATATAAAAACCGAATAGTTATAATTTTCTATAATCAAAATATTAATTGAATCCGAATATAATCGAATCGAAATCCAAAATGATCACCCTAATCTACACGAGTTAACCCGTCAACATGCAAAGATTAAAAAAGGTAGTTGTTTTTTTTATTTATTTGCCAAATGGTAAAGAAATCATTTTTCTTCCATTTTTTCACTGCTCACTCCAATCAGGAGCATCTGGATTTACAATCATTTATCGATTTTGATAGATTTATGGAATGATTTTGTTTTTTTATATTCCTAAATAATGTGCGGCGGGACAAATCTGTAGCAGGAGAATCTTGGTCCGACCGGCTCAAGATATGAGAAGGATTTCTCGGTCTCAGCTGCAGCAGAAAAACCGGAAAATATGGGATTTAAGCACGAAGCTCGGACAATTTTTATTTCGGTAATGTTTGATTTGGTCAAATTTGTTTCCTATTTAAACAATGTAATTCATACAGAATTCGATTCCAATTCAATCGTTTTCAATCTTGGAAATATTCCTCTCTACAAAAAAAATAGAGAGTATTCGAAATCCAGAAAATTCTATGACGCACATGCATCATTCTCTCTCAACAATTGGTGTCACAGCCACGTTCATGGGATCTGTTCATCCCTCGCAAATTTGAACGGGCTCTGATACCACTTGTTAAAAGAGAACTGTTGTCTCGGAAAAGAGAACGATGTATCTTATTCAACGGAATTAGATTATTCTATATTTTGAACCGTGTTTTTTTTTTGTTCTTTTTTTCAGTTTTGTTTTAGGGTTTTGCTAAAAAAAACTACTGTTTTTTTTTAAAAAAAATCCTTGTTTCCTTACCAAAAGTGCTTTATTTTAAGTCGAAATATTTTTTTTTTAGCATTTAAGTCGAAATGTTCACAAAAGTTTGGGAATTTTCAACAGATATATTGTATTTTTGGGATATGATGGGATTATTCGGGTAATTTTGTCAAAAGCGTGTCTATATTACCATTATTATTTTCTTATATTATTATATATATTAAAAAAAAATTGGGGGGGGGCATGGAGATGAAATTTCATATGTTATATTATATTATCCGTTGGACCGACGATGATTATCGATTTCGGCCCATTCACTTATAAGTTAGGTCCGTTTCTTCAATGGTATTGGGCTGAAGCCCGCTTGGAAATATCGAGCCATAATGGGCCTTTCGGGATGAAGGTTTAGCCCAATAAGGCCCATAAAGTTGGAATATTCCTTAATACTAATTCATGTTCGTTTAATGGATGTCTCACTGTCAGATTCTAAAGTCTTGTTTAATATATTATATTCTATGACGTCCATGTAGTTGTATGATTTTTAAAAAAAATATGCAACCATGTCAACGACAAATTTGACGAGATATTTTATTCCTTTGAAAAAGTCGCAGAAATTGTACTTTATATTTTCAAGATTTAAAAAAAAAAACATTTCAAGCAGCTATGATTTTGCCAGCTAAAATTGAAATTTCATATTTTTTATATAATTATCTAAATGTCCGTACCCTACAACTGAATGCAAAGATCGTGACCTTTACATTTTTTTAAAAATGCGATAGAATAGAATAATTAATTCCTGATTTTTTTTTTATTTTTTTTATTGTAATTCTTGCAAATGATAAAACTAATGTATTAATCTTGAACTTAGATAAAAAAAAAAAAATCTTATCTTTTACCCAAAAAAAACACGTGGAAAAAAAGATAAAAGGTCAAAGCTTGTCACAGATTACCCGTTCAATGGATCGGATAACTATCATGTATTCGACCCACCTTATCCAATTTTTTATCACATCAATTATATCGTCTGCTTGCAAATTAAATATATATATATATATATATATATATATATATATATTATTCATTATTTCTATAATAAGGTACCAATTCAAATCATCGCAAGAAAGATTAACACCACCAACTTCCAAAAACACATATATATATGTCGTCCAAGTAATAATACGGAATTTATTGTAAAGTTGTAACACGGAAATATAAATGTTTATATTTGTGCCAACTCATGGATCAACTAACTGCAACCGACCGATGGAAAAAAAGGAAATATATATTGTCAAGACGTATAAAACGGCGCCGTTAAAGGGTCGAATCCTACACGTGAAATCTGCACCGTCCAATGTCCGTAAGAGCGTTAATTCAACGGCTCAGATTTTGACCTCACCATTTGTTATGCCGCCTCCGCGAAATTTCCATCCCACACGCTTTTACGGCACGTGACATTCACACGCCTAACGGCAGCTTTTCTTGTCCTTTTTCCCTTCAGCGTTTACCGACCTGCTTCCTTCTTTTTCTCTCCTTCCTCGCCCGATCTTTTCGTATATATTCGGAGCGATCCTTTGGGTTTTACTGCTGAGCCCGAAAATCCATTTCGATTTTGATATAGCTTCTCAAAGTTTGCAAATTGGGTTTGATCGGGGTTTTTAGGGGGTTTTACCCAAATCTGTTCGAGTTTTTTCTCTTCCTGGCTAGATTTCTCAGTGTCTGTAGAGAAAGTCTCCGCAGACAATTCATTTTCTTCTCGCTTTTCCCAGAAAATTGGATCAAAATCGTTACAATCTGTGACTTTTAGCTGAAACCCCATTTTTTGGTTCCAAGTTTCATCTCATTTGCTTCTCAATCTCCGTCGAATCATAGGGCATAATCAGGGTTTAGGTGTTGTTGAAGCCGGAACAAATTTCTCATCCAATTCGATTCCTTTTCCGAGTTTAAGTTTCTGGGTTTTTGGGTTTTGTTCTTCGAAAATGGAATTGAGTTCCCAGCAGCGGTTCCCGATAGGCCGGCAGTCGTCGATGGCGCCGGAGAGGTGTCTGGAACCGTTGGTTCATGAGGAAGAAGTGATATCGGAGGAAGGAGAAGAGATCGATGCAGGCGTGAGGCTGATGTATTTGGCGAATGAAGGCGACATTGAAGGGATCAAGGAGCTTCTGGATTCAGGTGTCGATGCCAATTTCAGAGACACTGATGATCGAACCGCGCTCCACGTGGCGGCCTGTCAAGGTTTGAAGGATGTCGTCGAACTTCTCATCGATCGCCAGGCCGAGATTAACCCCGAAGATCGCTGGGGAAGCACTGTAAGAACAAACACTCTGAATTCCTTTTGTTATTGCTGCGAATTTTCCCCGATATGTATGAGTAATAATGATGCATGAATAGATGGATGGATGGATGGATGGATGATGATGATGATAGAGATCATGTTTGCTAGATAATGATGATCTTCGTTGTTATTGTAATTGTTGTGTGACTTAGTTTTGTAATTGGTTTTTGTTTTCTAAACGATCTAATACCTTTCAGACAGCCTCTTGCAGATGCCATATTCTACAAAAACATTGACGTCATCAAGCTTCTTGAGAAGCATGGCGCTAAACCTCCTGTAAGTAGTATCTTGCAAAGATTTTCAGTTAATGGCGGTTGGATTTGGATTTAAGCAGTAGCAGATTCAGACATTATTCTTTAATGACATACGTGTGATGATCAGTTATCCTTCATGTGCTTACATTTCAGATGGCTCCAATGCATGTGAACCATGCCCGTGAAGTTCCCGAGTACGAAATTGATCCTAATGAACTCGATTTCACCGAAAGCAAGGACATAACAAAGGTATGCTTTTATCTTTTATTTAGCAATAACCATTTGATATTCCTTGCTCTATTCTCTGAGTTTTATCTGAGAATGATCAACCAATTTCGAATTCCGTCTGGATATGGTCTGCAAATGAAAAGATACAGAAATTTCATTGTATTGTATTCGTGTGTGCTCTTCTTTCCTCTTCAATATCGATGAAACAGAGCTCTTTCTCAGGGAACTTATCGCATAGCAAAATGGCGTGGAATCCAAGTTGCTGTGAAAAAGCTCGAGGATGAAGTTTTAAGTGATGAAGAAAAAGTGTAAGTAAATGGAGAGATTAAAAAAAATCTCGTGAAGTATGGTATCATTTCTAGTGATATATATCTTACCATATATATATATATATGTATATTATTTATGCAGGAGGAAGTTTCATGATGAGCTTGCATTGCTTCAAAGACTTAGGCATCCCAACATTGTGCAATTTCTTGGTGCTGTTACCCAAAGCAGTCCAATGATGATTGTGACTGAATACTTACCAAGGGTATAGTTTCACGTTTGAATTATTTTAAAACCCTTTTCTTAGTTTTCGAAGACCTTTAATTTAATCTCGTTGTTAAGCAAATCTTGTAGGGAGATCTGCGTGAATTGCTTAAAAGGAAAGGGCAGTTAAAACCAGCAACTGCTATACGATATGCCCTTGATATTGCAAGGTACAAGACTAGATTTTCATATGGGTTCCCCTCAAAATTTGGCTTTTTTTTGGACCGGTTTTCATGAAATAGATACTTATGTGATTTACATGTGTGGGTTTCTTAGGGGAATGAGCTACCTCCATGAGATCAAACAGGACCCGATAATCCACCGTGATCTCGAACCATCGTGAGTTTCTGCTTTTTCTATGTGTTTTGGTTTTGAATCCTTCTGTCCACATCGGAGGTTGCATGCTGACATTTGTTTTTGTCCGTTTGACCATATTATAAGCTCTTTCATGTGCTCATATGGGTGAATATCTGCAGAAATATACTGCGAGATGATTCTGGGCATCTGAAAGTTGCAGACTTTGGAGTAAGCAAGCTTCTAACTGTTAAGGAAGATAAACCCTTTACATGTCAAGACATTTCTTGTAAGTCGATTTTAGCGTGTTTCTTCTCTCTCTCTCTCTCTCGCCCGGAATAGAAACCCTGTTTGAACGTTATTTCTTCCTTCTCTCTTTGTTGGGCTGTCTTCCTTATAGGCCGATATGTCGCTCCAGAGGTTTTCACTAGTGAAGAATGTGATACCAAAGCCGATGTTTTCTCTTTCGCCTTGATTCTTCAAGAGGTAAATAAGAAGACTTCTCGTATGTCAGCCCTTCTTGTTTCACAGTCATGATCAAGCACGCTATAATAATATATGTATATATGTACACTTGTTTCAGATGATAGAAGGACACATGCCATTTTCTGATAAGAAAGACAGTGAAGCTTCTGAAGCATATGCATCCAGAGAGCGGCCGCCATTTAGAGCTCCATCAAAGCAATACCCACATGGACTTAAAACGTGAGTCTAAACTGTCATCTTCATTGCCTTTTCTCAAACTTGTAATACGAAATGGGCAAAATCTTGAATAGAAAATAAAAACCAGAACTGTTTACTTGATGTATTTCTTCCATTCTTTCATTGGTGCCATTAACGATTGGGCTTGGAACTCTGTTCCTGTAGGTTGATAGAGGAGTGTTGGCACGACAAGCCGGCCAAGCGACCAACTTTCAGGCAGATCATCAAGCGGCTCGAATCAATTCTTCACCACATGGGTCACAAGCGACACTGGAGGGTCTCTCTCTCTCTCTCTCTCTCTCTCTCTCTCTCTCACTCACGACAGAACACGCGTTGTGTTTTGTTGTTGCTTCTGGGTTCTGTTCTTTATCTCATGGGTTTATGTCTCGTTGTCTCTTGATGCATTTTCAGATGAGGCCATTGACGTGCTTCCAGAATTTCGAGCACAAAACGAGGAAAAACAATTGGGATTTAAGCAGCCGAGACGGTTCATCCGGTTCGACCGGTTTCTGATACTTAACCGGTTCCTTTTTTATTTGGTTAAAATTTCCTAATCCTTCGTTCTTTTCTCCCGGTTAACTTTATTGTATAATTTGTGTACAACTTCATGATTTCGTCCCCAATATGCAAAATTATATCACGTATTTCTATACTTATTTTCTGCCCACTGGATATTTTTTAAGTAAAATAACCGAGTTTTGTTCCGGTTTAAGAATTCAGTAGACATGTGTCCATTGTCTTGTTTCCCGGTTAAGGAATTTTTGTGAAAAGATAATACAACCTGCAAGGAAAAATAAAAATAGAAACTTTGGTTATAAATTGCACTTTCAATTGTACATCATTTTCTCTTAATATTAACTAATGTGTTTTTTTTCTACCTTGAACAACAAAATTCACAAAAGATTTGTAACGGAGAGGGTCCAAATATTATAAAATAGATGAATAACGTATCAAACAGAACCACGCTAAATATGCTCATATGTATTATAAATAAAGAAAGAAAATAAAAGAAAATAGAAGCATTTAATTTAATTTAATTAGATTAGGTGGTTACATTTAATACGCCCTCCTCTCTCTCTCAAACAGTAGTACTAACTCTTGTTTCCGGTCCCTTTCGACTAGAAAGAGAATCTCCAATCCAAATCTCCTGTTTCATTAAAAAAAAGAAATTGGATATGGAACATTTCGTAATTACCGTACAATGGAATTCAAATTATAGATATTGTTATCTTTTACGAATTCAACATCTTTCTGTATATATATATATATAAAACTAAATTACATATCATTAGAGACTGAACTATTCATGGAGAAAATGAGTGATGATGAAAATATAATGGAGAAAATTGGAACTATATATTCTTCTTGTCTTAAAACACATTCAATTTAAATAATTTGTGGTCAAACCAAATTTGAGAACAATTATGTATACGAGGATGAGATGATTATTATTATTATTATTATTATACAGTTTGGTCGGAATTAATTAGCCGAATATGGTATAGGCTACTTTCAATTTGTGGTCCTTCGTGGAAGATACGGGGAGATTTTCTTTGTTCTAAAATCCCCCCACATTACCTTTCTTTGAAAATTCTGTCCATATTGTTACAAACACATACAGTTCACATGGAAATAAAAAAATAGATAAATTCGAGTGTTTGTGTGTTCATTTAAAAAAAATCCAAGAAACTAAGAATTTCAATTTATTACCTAATTAATTACTTCTTTATATGATATGTATAAGACGAAACTATAACATTCCAGAAAAAAAAAATAGTTAATAACTTCCCAGGAAATAAAAAGAATAGTTTCGGAAGGGCGGCTTCCTTACCTTCTAATTGGGTCAGAAGTTTATGTTAATAACTTCCCATATTAAGCCCTAACGTCTTCTCCCGTACAAACCATCTTATATATATATATATATATATATATATATATATATATGTCAAAATCATATGTCATGGACAATATATATATATATATATTCCCAACTTGAGCTCTCCTTTTTCTCTTCACCTGTGTGAAAGATCACATAAAGAAATATCCACTGGCAATATATATATATATATATGCCCTCTCCATGTATTAATTCATAGAGTTTTGTTCGTTAAAATTCAATATTTTTTTGTATCATGTAGATGCTTATCAGGAAAAAAAAACATATATATTATCTAACTTCATTAACGAATGATCTATAACTTTTGTGTGGATAATAAATCTTACCAAACTAATGGTCTCTATACATGACCCAATTTGAGATACACACATCTCTGAATTTTGTCAATAGAATCAGGATATAATACTCCATAACCAAAAAAAAAAAAACTAATCAACACTTACCATATGAAATTAAGAATCTCCTCAATGAAGGAAAAAAAATGATGAACTTTTAGACAAATTAATGAAGGAGTTGTATATATTCCTTTATAAATATAGCTCCATCTTCTTTGCAAAACCCTACCCTTCCATATATATTCCGCAACTTCTCCATCCATCCCACACTTTCCATCATTTTCCCGAGAAAAAAAGATTAATCAAGGGAAAGGACCCTTTCCCCCCTTTTGTTCTTCCCCTCACTCATCAGGTCAGTGTATTAGTGTTTCCCAAACCCTTCAGACACTATCTTCTTCATTAGTATAACTTTGCTTCACTTCTTTTGGTCGATCCCTGACCAAAAATCTTTGTTCCTCTGAGGTTTCCTTTTGTATCTATCAATATCATCGATCCCTTCTCTTTTTTTTTTTCAGTTTTATTTTTATTCTGTTTATATTATTGGGTGAAAGTTTCATTTATTTCTACTTACCAAAGAAAATTCAAATCTATGAACAAGTGATCGTATTTCTTTGTTAGGGGATCATATCGAATTGAAAGTTTTCCCCTTTTTTTCAATGTGGTCTAAGAATCAAATGAACTCTGTCCAAACACACATAGATACTTACATACATATACACACATCTACATATATGAAATCTGGAGTATTTTTTCAAGATTTTTTTTTTATGGGCAGCAACCACGGCGTACAGGACGGAGCTGGGATCGGATCAAACCTCTCCCCAGAGGAAATCTGGGAGAGGAAAGATCGAAATCAAGCGGATCGAGAACACGACGAACCGTCAGGTCACCTTCTGCAAACGCAGAAACGGCCTTCTCAAGAAAGCCTATGAACTCTCCGTTCTCTGCGACGTCGAGGTCGCTCTCCTCGTCTTCTCCGCCCGCGGCCGCCTCTACGAGTACTCCAACCACAGGTCGGTACTCAACATACATCACACACTCTCTTTTTCATTTATGTTTCATCTTTTGTTAATCTTGATATTGTTTGTCTGATCTCTAGGGTTAGATTTGTGATTATTTAACTTTGAATTCTTTCTAGGGTTTTCTTCTTTCTTTCTTTTTTTTTTTATGTGATTCTTTATGAATGATGTGATTCTATTCTTCTTCTACGGTTCTAACTGCATATGCGTGATCTGGGGTTCCTTTCACTTTTTTTCTTTTTTTCTTTTTCTTGAAGGTGCTTTCTTAATTAGATGCTGATTTTGATTATTTTAGGGCTCTACATTTATGTTTTCATATAATTAAAATCTTTTAGTTAGGCAATATGGTAAATGGCGTTATTTGTCTTGGCCTGTAGATAGATCATATATAATATACAAATGTTTCAAATGGATTCAATTTCTTTAACGACTAAGATTAGCTTTGTCGGTTCCCACTTTACTCATTCTAGTGTATATACTTACTTTACTTTTTTCCCATCTAGCAAGTACTGTGGATGAGTATGCTTGTAGATCTGGTGGTGTAACAGGTAAATCTTTGGTTTTTATGGGAAATATGCATGTGAATTTAGCAAATTTTGGGTATGTTGGATTTTGGAGTGTGTATACATACACATATATACACACACATACATCAATATGCGTGTGGCATGTACTACATATGAGGCCATCTGCTCTTCTGCTCCATCCTCCATTGCTGTAAATGTCTGTGTTTCTCTCTCTCTCTCATGAATTCACATCATGTTTGATATGATAGCACATCTGACGGTTGAGAGTAAATCACGAAAGATAACTTTTACTTTTTTTTACGAGATCTAACAAGTAGTGTGAGTGAATTACACGATCTTTCACATAATGGTGTGGTACATGTAGGGCAAGTGTGATTGAATTATATGATATATCATATATATAGTGGTGCGGTACATATGTAGGGCATGTGTTTTCATTATGTCTTTGGAACAAACCCCCTTCATCAATTTCTTGTCACTTCCTCAGCGGCTTATCATAGAAAACAAAACCCTAGGAAAAGACATGTCAAATAAATCTGAAGTTTTCGTTGAATTAAATTAAATAATCCCGTGAAAAAGGGTATGATTCCACCAGGACGTACACGGCCTTCATTTGGGTTCTAAAAGAAACTGTAAGAAATTCATAATCTTCAAACCCTAGAAAGAGTCAGATCTTGAATTAGGGTATCAGAAAATTTGCTTTCTGGGAGTTTCTGGTTTCTGGAAAATACTTCTAATTCTTCAAAATTAGGGTTTTGAAGAGCCAATAAAACACAAATGGGGTCTTCTCTTCATAGACCCATTTTGGTTAAAGACAAAAATCAATCTTAAACTTCCCTATTAAAACTAATCGCAACCCACTTCACACATCACAACTCAAATCAGGGATCTTTAAAAACCTTTTCATTACAGCTTCTCTAATTGGATGCTCTTACTTTTCTTAATCTATCACTTCCAGTTACCTAGTTGTGTCCTAAAACAATTTCCCAGTTCCCATTAAAAGAAAAATAAGGAAAAGGAAGAAATCCTCCGATAAACAAAAACAAAATCTCAGACAGGCTTCTTGATTTTCCTTCGAGTATACATATACATGTAAAATATACGCATATATATATATGGATCAGTGTGTGTGGATACTTAATTAATTTTTTTACCCATTGGGTAGAAAAGGAACAGGGTAATGTTTCTTTTTTCATTTTTTGATTTTTTTTTTTAAATGGTGATTGGGTTGAGAAGCAAGATTAGGTTTTGGTCTCTGCAAGATTTGTTGTCATACAGAATCTTTTGATCGCGTCACCACACAGACTTCATATGTTTTCACTTTTGTTTCAGTTCTTGACTTCTGACTAGTTGGGTATATATGTCATAATTTCTTAACTTGGAACCTATCCATATATCGAAAATTTATACAAACCTTACTTTGTCAATTCATATTACTGCTTTTAACCACTTAAGCTACAAGTTTGACATTGGGCTATTACCATATATAGATACCTAAACATATTTAATGAAGTATGTGAGAGAAAATAATATATATATATATATATATATATATAAGCAGTGTGAGTGTGTTACTATATAATAGCTAATGAAGATGAAAATGGTCAGATGGTATCGGTTTATCTCTCTTTTTCTTCCTTAGAAATTACTCTTAATGTTTCAAGAGGGTGACAAAAAATATGTTTTCTAGAGAGAGAAACTTAGGGTTTTTCCTCTCTCTCTCTCGTTGCAAAATCGAAAGTGAGTTTCTGAATTTTCTTTTGTCTTCTTTTGCCAAATGAAAGCAACGGCTGCTGAACTTCTGCTGTCCCTAAATGGACGGCTCTGATTTCCCGTTACTCTTTGATTTATCCTAAGCGTATATACACATTAATATATATTAGATATTCCAAATAAGGAAACTATGAAACGTTGGCGATTTTATTCATCGGTTAAGTCATAGATCCATGAAATCCAACGTGGTTATAAGAATAAGAAACGGGTGTTAATCTTGCGGATGCTTCGTTGTGTAATGGGTTAGCGACACGTGTCGCATGTCTGAAATATGAGGCTGACTCAGACCAATCATATAGTGGCAAAACTATATCAGCATGTCAGAGGCAACAAACCACTAGGGCGAGGAGATTAAGGTTTCATACCGATATAATATTATAATATAGGATCAATTGTGATTCCTTTTTTTACTATTGATTTTAATATATATATATATATATATATTGGTCATTGTCTTTACATTACATCAAGTGTGACATGATGTCTGATTAGGGGAGGACCTACTGCTCCGTCTAAAAAGAAACGATGTTTGCTTTTAAGGTTTCGTATTAGAATCACTTAACTGAGCAAACTTGGGTGATTTACCCGTCGAATAAACAAATTATATTAATATTAAAAAGGTATTTTAATATATGTTTAATTAATTGTGTTAATTTGCAGTGTAAAAGCGACAATAGAGAGGTACAAGAAGGCCGTGTCGGATGATTCTGACGGGGGATCGGTCTCCGAAATCAATACCCAGGTAATATCTATACCTTATATTAGCGAGATTGGACCATATTATACTGATTATAATTATTGTCATTTTGTTCAGTACTATAAGCAAGAATCAGCGAAATTGCGTCAACAAATTCTTGGTATACAGAAATCGAACAGGTAAAAGTCTTTAAATTACAAAAAAAAAAAGCTTACTTTTTTTTTTGGAGACGTGAGTAAAGGTTGCATTCAGTTCATGGTGAGCACTACAAAATTATAAACTAAGATTTGGTTAAATAGTTATTTTTTTATTTTTTTTATTTTATGTGTTATAAGATTGTGGGTTGGTTGTATGAAAGGCAAATGTTGGGCGAGACAATAGCTTCAATGACTCCAAAAGAGCTCAGGAATTTAGAAACCAAACTAGAGACAGGAATTAGTCGAATCCGATCCAAAAAGGTACATATATATATATATATGTATATGTGTGTGTGTGTATATATAGATACACGTAAACGTATAATATATATTTTAAGTTTGCAAATTTAACAATCTATCCATCGGTATTGTACTTTTTTCATTTTATTTTCTGGGGCAGAATGAGATGTTGTCCGCCGAAATAGAGCACATGCGGAAAAGGGTGAGTATTAAAATATAAATATGTGATTTATAATATGAGTATTAAAATATGATTTATAATTGCTATTATGAAATATGTGTTGCGTTTTGCATTTAACATATTTTATTAAAACGAACATTTATTAGGAAGTTGATCTGTACAACGATAACAACCTTCTCCTCGCCAAGGTATATAAGATCTCTCCTGTGATTTCATCCATTGAAAGCAAATAATCAAATCACATGCAATCGTATAAAAAGTGTCGTTATAAAATCCTGCATTATGTTTTTGTATCATATTCATATTTTGCTGCTCCATTTAATGATTATAATATATATACATATATACTTACATATGTCCCACAAATTTTGGAGGCCCTATATACATATTACAAAATATTGACCAATTGATTTATATTATACACAATAATATTTTAAAAAACTTATAAAAAATCAATTTTATATTATTTTTAAAAACATTTAAAAAATTGTATAAATATGTTTAACTTAATAAATATACAAATGATAACAGATATAATATATTTGATTTTATTTTTTAAAAATAAAACTCTTAATTTATTTAATAATAATAAAACCGAATTAATTATAATAAAACTAACCACTCACCGTTATTCGTAATTACTTTTAATAATAATATATTATTTAATATTTTTAAATTATTTAAAATAAGAATTAAGAAGTCTATAAATTTTGAGATATTCCATTACACCACTTGCACATACTAATAGACGGTCCTATATATATATATATATATATATATATATAGGTAGCTGAAAATGAGAGGAACCATCTGAGCATGATGAGTATGATCATGCCGGGAATGGGAGGATCGAACTACAACGAGGGGCGATCTCAGCCGTTGGATTCTCGAGGTTATTTCCATGTCGCGGCTTTACAACCAAACCACCATCATTTCTCCGACAAGCAAGACCTCACTCCCCTTCAGCTAGTGTATGTTAACACCTCAGCCCTGTCTTAATTAGTACTTTTATATACTTTGATTTCGTTTCATTATTGTTATTATTATATATCTAATTATACTTGATGATGTTATCTCGGCATCAAGAATGATACGTTTAATTGGATCTAGTCCAAAATTAAAATTCACGAGATCTCTTATAGATTATTTAGATGTTGGCTCTTTAGCAACTATACGTGTAATGAACTTGCATGTTATTATATGATTTGCAGGTGATATTGGCCCCAATGGTTAAAGAACGCGAATAATGGCAATAAAGAAGATGGAGCTATATGTATAAGTGTAGGAGAGGGCATATATATATATATATATATATATATATATATATATAATGCCAAACTTTTATATATATGCCTAAGTTGGTATTAAATATGATATTTCAATGCCAAACTAATGTAAGATCCTTTATTCATGATCTACCCTTTTGCAATTGGTTTTCCTTTATGTTATTGAATCGTCTATATATGTGTATGTGTGTGTGTGTATATATATATATACACACAGAAAATTTGAATGTGGAAAGATTGTACAAAATTGGCTATCCCATTACCTGTCTACACGGCAAAAGAGGCCCAAACCAATAATACCATTTTTTTTTTACTTGGGCCGGTCCAATCTCAGCTCTGTTTCCAAATTATCTATTATTTCCCATAATATCCTTTTTTTTTTTTAATCTCGTTCGTCCTTTTTTTTTAAAATTAAAAAGGTGGTGAAATTAAACATTACAAAGATTTGGTCTGAAATATTTGGACTAATGATTTTAAAAACACCAACGATACCCATGATATATCTAGGACGCAAATTCTATATCTCACTGTGTTGGTATGAGTTAGAATATATCATTATAACGAAATGTTTTTTTTAAAAAAAGGACTATAATATGCCAAAATAAAAAGTGAAAAATGCAATTTTAAAAACTGCAAATGTTGGAACCGAACGTATAAATACGACCCTCTTTTGCAGATCATTTTAATATACGTACGTGCTTAAGATATTACAAATTGTAAATTTGACTATTCAAATATTATATTCACTCATAAATTTCATGATATCTATATACTTGGAACTAGCATTCATATAAAAGATAAGGGAATACTGCAATTCGTAATAATACAAACATATATGCCCAAATTGTAACCGTTGGTCAAAATATCGCTATAATGCCACACCCCACCACTAAATTTGATAGGATGCTATAGTATCTTATTTTATATCAAGTAAAAGTTTTATTTTTGTTATACAGATCTACTCGGTAAAAAAGATTTACTGACAAAAATAAAAACTAATATATCCATTCCAATAAAAGAAATAAATCGGAAGTTTTAAAATTCTGTTACGTTCTGAATCACATGTTTTTATAACATGTTCGAAAATCAAGAAGCTATGCTTTATTATATCATTTTACTTGGACATTAAAATAACCACTTATTTTGAGTTAACAAATCATTAAAAAAAATTTAAAATTCTACAGCTATCATAACAATATTCTCCGGATATTAAACTATTATTTTAAATATCTCGCACTTATTATAAGAATAAAAAAGGGGGAAAGTGTATATTATATAGTATATGCGCAATAGAAAAATATATCTTTTCAGTTGTTTTGTTTCGAATTCGCAGTTGGAGATAAGGCAATTTGATGATTCGACCATATTCATTTTGTCCTCATCTTAAAATATTTTTATATCGAAAATATCGAAAATATTACATAATTTACATTTCTTGGACTAAAAAATTCAGTTATTTTTCCTTTTTTTCGTCTAAATTAATAATACATGTAGCCATCCATCAATTTAACATAAGAGGGTGTACGTATCGGTACGAAAAAAGTATGAGAATTTTTAATAGAATTACCAAATAACGATAGCTGTATTGTTCTATAGACGAGTTGGGAATGGCAACGGAATAGCCTAAAAAACGGGGGAAAGTGAAATTTTCCAGAGAAAATCGAGGGAAAAAATAATGAATTTTTCTTAGGAAAATGGCATAAACGGCCAAAGAAATTTTCCCAAGAAAACAGAAACCATATGAAATCTGTAACACCAAATCAGTTCCCTAGATTCTCGAAACCAATCATACACCTTCGGTTGCATTTTTTACATATATTGACGTATGATAATTACCATATTATTATCCAAATGCACACTAATCTAAAAACATTTTTTTTAAAAATCCGATATATATAGTTATACGATTGCAGAAAGATTTATTTATTTATTTTATTTGCTATAAAACTAATATAAATAAGTGATATTAGGGTTGTAGCGCAACAACAGCAAGATCTCAAAAGCCATGAAGCTTACTTCTCTCTTTCTTTTCCTTCTCCTCCTCGTTCCGTTCTTAGCTTCATGCGATGAAAAACAGGTTCCTTTTTTTTTTTCGAGTAATTCATATTTTGTTTCTGCATTTCAATTTCCTTAACCCTTTTTTTAAAACGGGAATCTAATCCCATTGATTTTTGTGCCATAACGGGTATCGACCGTAATTAATATCCAAATGATTTGAATTCTTTATCGATATAACATTTGTTAGTGGTGGGGGTTTTAGGTGTACATAGTCTATTTTGGAGAACATAGAGGTGACAAAGCATTGCATGAAATTGAAGCTCATCATCATTCTTATCTCCTCTCGGTTAAAGACTCGGAAGAAGAGGCGAAATCTTCTCTTTTGTACAGCTACAAGCATAGCATCAATGGCTTTGCCGCCAAGTTAACCGCGGAAGAGGCATCTAGGCTCAAAAGTAATATTTTTTTTTTAAAGATTCATTTTTTGAATGAAACCCAGTTGCTAGTTTTATCAGTTGAGAAAAGGGTATCCGTTAAATTTTTGAATTGTTTTCGATAGAATTGGAAGAAGTGGTATCCGTATTCAAGAGCCATCCGAGAAAATACGAGCCGCATACGACAAGGTCGTGGCGCTTTGTAGGGTTGGAAGAAGATGATATACGGCTGAACAGAAACGATGTTAATGATCGGTTTAGGATTGGAAGAAAGTTTTTGAAGAAGGCCAAGTACGGGGATGGGATCATCGTCGGTGTTCTTGATAGTGGTGAGTTCACTATAAAATCTATATAATTTGATTTGTCTACCGATTATAACGTGAATCTGAATCAAATCTACAACTTTATTGGAGTATATAATGAAAATTGGAACGTGTGATTAATTAGGTGTGTGGCCAGAATCAAAGAGCTTCCGTGACAAAGGGATTGGACCCATTCCGAAATCATGGAAAGGAATCTGCCAAAACGGGACTGCTTTTGACTCTTCCCACTGCAACAGGTACGTTTAAAAAAAAAGATTAATATATTATTAATAATCCAAGATTTTCATAATACAAAATCTTATCAAAATCAGACACGTGTTCATATGTTTATGTTGCGGGAATCTTTCCATGTATATCCTTATATATGATTTTATCTTATAGAATAATACATAAAATAAATATGACATGGGGCTATAATTTTGATGAGTTCCAATAATGCATGCAGTTTTCTCTTTCATTGCTTTTTTGTTCGTTTTCTATGATTTGCGACTTCGATCTCCCATGTTCAAGCAATCACAGAAGCTTACGTCACGATTCACGAGACCGTGTCCTGTTTTTTAACAAGCTTTTATTGATATAAAAACAAATTAATTGTTACTTTTTGTTTTTCTCAACAAAAAAAAAAAACCTGACTTATCGCTTCTGTAAGCCTTCTATGAAATATATTTTTTTGGGTAATATATCATTTAAAAAATGATATTTTTGTTGAAACCCATATCGTGAATGATATAGATTTTGGTAACAGACAAAATAAACTTTGTTCATTCTTGAATAATTTCGTACACCCGTGAATTCTCTTGTTTGCTTCACTGTCATCCAATTGCTTCATGTCTATAACATATAGCAGATATATACACACACACATATATATATATACACATATATATATATGTGATCTTCAAACTCAAATGTACATGTGAAGATTTAAAACTAAAACAATATAGACATTAGATGTTATTTTAGATTGTTACAGTTTATTATTAGGGTGTACATTATTATATTTCACAGAAACTGATTTCTTTTATATATATATATATATTCATCTCCTTTCTGTTCTGTTCTTGAGCGTCGGAGTGATTACGGTGAGGAGTTCGTCGGGCCGATTACTCTACAGGAAACAAGATTAATCACCAAGTAAATCTCGGTGAAGCAATCAAAACAATATGTCGAACAAGACGTTAATCTCCTGGCCGTTTGAAACACACATATTCTATTTCCCACTTTTTTTTTAATTTATTTCTCTTTGATTATTCTTTCTATATTTTACCACCTTAAGTCGTTGACTCTTTTTATATATATTTGAACATAATTTATGTAAAACAATAATCATATAGAATATGGGACATTATCCCATTTTCGCCAATATTCTAATTTAAACATATAGTAACAAACATAAGAAATCTCATATATTTCTTCATAGTATCATAGCGTAAAAGTCCATGAACCCTTATGTTCTAAATTTTTTTTAATCTGAAATTCTCGATCATATAAAAACCGAAGAGAGTTCGAGTTTTTTTTTTGGTCATTTTCATCCGCCATATACATCCCTTAAAAGGTCGCATGAGGTGTATTTGGGATGATTTTGGAAATCTTCAAGAAAGAAATCATTGTTCATACATCGAACATGCCAACGATGTTATAGAACAATTTTGGTGTACCAAAGAGGAGGTTGACACATGGATGACGAACTATATGGGGAAGTTCAAACCATGTGTAGAGGATGAACTATATGAAGAAAAATAAAACGATGGGGAATGGAACGTAGAAGACATCCTAAATCAACTCCCACTACAAATCAAAGAGACGTTGGTGCAAACGGTCAATATAAACAATTTTGAGTTAAGTATCTCGTTTCTTAAAACTAATGAATTTGCTATATTGATTAAAAGAGGTCAATAAGAAAGCCAAAGAGAGTCTATCACAAATTCTATAAAATCTTCACGTGGTTCGTACTTAAAACTCTGCTTACATTGATAGAAAGGAAGAAGATTTGATGATATTTCAAGATGAACGATTTTGTTATTTTTTTTATGTGCTGTAAAACTTTAAAAAAAACGAACTAAGTTCTATTGAGGAGGACAGTTTCGGCATTATAAAATCCGCACGGGTAAAAAAGGGCATGTGACGGTCCATCCATTTCGATAAGACCAATCATGTATCAATAATATTATATTAAAATGCTAAAAGTGAGAGACGAAACGTTTCCAGATCTTTCTACAAGCTTCCTTCGCAGTTCGCACCGCTCTTAAATCACAGAAACTCTGGATTCCACCTTCATGTGAGAAGATAAAACAAAGGCGAGGAACAAAAAACCTCTGCCGCCATGGCAACAGAACGAGAAGCACAACGAGCGGAAACTAGAACAGAGACTCCCTCTGTTTTCCAAGGAGTTCTCAGGAACAGAGACCACCTCTTTCTCTTCACGCCCTTCCTCTTAGGATTCTCCGATTCACATACCCACCGGAACCCTAATCCAGACCCGCCGGGAAATAACGCCCGCGATGATCCTCCGCCGCCTGAGAGAATCGTCCTCGTCAACCCCTTCACACAAGTCATGGTCGTGATCCACAGATCACCGGGCTCGGATCCCCTGCTCCGCACCCTAGTCGGGAACCGTAAATCGGGTCGTCCTCCGGCGTCGAAGGCCTCCGTCGACGCGTTACCGGCCGTCGAGATCGAATCCGGCGGCGGAGAGTGCGCGATCTGTCTGGATGATATGGTGGTCGGAGAGACGGGGAAGGAGATGCCGTGTAAGCATAGGTTTCACGGACAGTGCATAGAGAAGTGGTTGCTGCTTCATGGGTCGTGCCCTGTTTGCAGGTTCGAGATGCCTGTTGATGAAGACCAGGCCTCGAAGAAGAGAGACGACGATGAAGGTGGTATATATATATATACATTTATAGAAAAATAATCGGAGCGAGATATTACGTAAAAGGGTACTTGAACAACTACGGATCCTTCAACGTGACGGCGAACAAAGACTTCCTCTCGCCGCGTGACCCCGATGGCCACGGGTCCCACACGGCCTCCACGGCGGTCGGGGGGCCAGGCCTCCACGGCGGTCGGGCGGCGAGTCTCCAGAGCCGCCGCCATAGGAGGTTTCGCCGGCGGCACTGCCTCCGGTGGAGCCCAGAGGGCACGACTCGCCGTCTACAAGGCGTGTTGGGCGAAGCCCGACGCGGAGAAAGTGGACGGCAACGTTTGTTTCGAAGAGGACATGCTGGCGGCGATCGACGATGCGATCGCCGACGGCGTTCACGTTATCAGCGTTTCGATCGGATCCATCGACCCGTTGCCGTATTCGGAGGACGGAATAGCGATCGGGGCTTTACACGCGGTTCGTAGGAACATCGTGGTCGCTGCCAGTGCCGGAAATTACGGGCCGAAGCCGGGGACGTTGTCGAATCCTGCGCCGTGGATTATTACCGTGGGGGCTAGCGGCCTCGACCGGAGTTTTGTCGGCGGGCTTGTTCTTGGAAACGGCTTTACCATCAAGGTATACATACTAAGAATTTGGAGTGACGTATACAAAAATTTCCTACAATTTTATAAGCATATATGTATTTTTGTAATTTATGTGTATTATATGGGTTTTTTTTTTCAGACGGAGTCGATTACGTCATACAAGATGGACAACTTTGCGCCGCTGGTCTATGCTGCTGACGTGGTCATTCCTGGCGTCGTAGCGGCTAACGATACATCGTAAGATTTTTCCTCTTTTTTTTTTTTAAATTAATAGATGACTAAATAAAAAAATATACATTGATATCATCATTACCGATCCAATTAAATTTGATATTTCCGTACCAATTGGTTAATAACCCGTTATTTATATACATATAATGCCAATATAGACTTATCAAATAAAAAATGACCAACTATAATTTCCATATTTTATAAAATTTTATTTATGATTCTCGGATTATATAGATAATTAATCTTTTAATGTTTTTTTTGGAGCAGACAATGTTTACCAAACTCACTATCACCGGAGCTTGTGAAGGGCAAAGTGGTAATGTGTATGAGAGGAACCGGTTCAAGAGTTGGTAAGAGTCTTGAGGTGAAACGAGCCGGTGGAGCCGGTTTGATCCTCGGAAACTCTCCAGCCAACGGCGACGACATTCCCGTCGACGCCCACTTCATTCCGGCAGCCGGAGTCATTCCTTCCGTCGTCGACAAGATCCTACATTACATCAAAACCGACAAAAACCCGGTCGCTTTCATCAAACCGGGAAAAACGGTTTACCGGTCCAAACCGGCTCCATTCGTGACTGGTTTCTCTAGCCGCGGTCCCAACGTCATAGATCCCAATATCCTCAAGGTTGATCACCCATTTCACCCTTTCCTTCATTTTCATCCTACTAAACCGGACGTTGGTTAAACTGGGTACTGACCCGCTCTCTGAACCGGTTTTTGGTTGGTTTGCAGCCGGATATATCGGCTCCAGGACTGAACATATTGGCGGCATGGAGCGGAGCTGATTCTCCGACCAAAATATCGGCGGACCGGCGCACAGTTGAGTTCAATCTATTCTCAGGAACATCCATGTCTTGTCCTCATGTTTCTGGGGCAATTGCTCTCATCAAAGCCATACATCCCAGCTGGAGCAGTGCCGCTATCAGATCTGCCATCATGACCACTGGTAACAATAAACTCATCATTACCTTTCTTGTTCGTTTTTCTTGTTAGCTTGGAACTGATTTTCGCTTCTCGTTGCAGCCTGGATGACTAACGATGAGAAAAAACCGATCCAAGACATTAACGGTTTACCTGCGAACCCGTTTGCAATCGGTTCAGGGCATTTCAGACCAACCAAAGCAGCGGATCCCGGATTAGTCTACGATGCGTCATACAAGGAGTACCTTCTCTACTGCTGTTCTGTCAGCTTAACCGACGTTGACCCAGAATTCAAATGCCCCAAGAAACCTCCTCCTGGTTATAACCTGAATTACCCGTCAATCTCAATCCCGAATCTCAACAGAACAGTAAAGATACAGAGAAGAGTTACAAACGTTGGATCCAGTAATGGAACGAGTACTTACTTCTTCAGTGCGAAACCTCCGTTAGGTGTCTCGGTTACGGCTAAACCGAACATACTGACATTCAGTAGGGCTGGCCAGAAGAAGCGGTTTACCATAACCGTTAAGCCACGGACGGAACAACTGAGAGGTAAGGTTCAGAAGGGTCAGTACATCTTTGGACGGTATACTTGGACGGACAGCTACCACGTTGTTAGAAGTCCCATTGCTGTCTCCTTAGCTTAGATGTTTTCAAGAACCTTTAGTGTTTCGATTTCGTCGGGTTGCTTCTCTTATTCGGGTCAAAGTGAAAGAAGTAGAATCACTTTCTTTTCCCAAAGAAATCAAAGATTGTTGTTTGAGATATATACACACACACACTATGTGTGTTCATGGAAAAAAAGTTAATCTTCTTCAGAAAAGTATCTTTTAACTCTAACCCGTTCTCCATTGAAGTGAGCATACTTGAACTCAGAGAGATACCTTCTAAGAACAAGTTTCCGCTTTTCTTCTTGGCCTAGTTCCCTAAATGCGCGCGCCACTCTTTTTGTCGTGTCTTGGTCTGGTCTCACGCCTAACTCCTCCATGTCTGCAAACACCTGAAGAGAAGAAAATGCAGGAAAATCAGCCCAAACTTTCATAAAACACAATCTAAAAATGAAGAAAAAAACTGCCGAGAGTAATAATTCTCACATGATTTCATTATATACAATCTCGTTACGTTACTCCTTTCCTGTCCTTCACTTTTCACCCGAATTACTATATCTGTCTATGACTAGGCCAGATTGATCTTTCACCAAATCTTGAGTGCCACATGTAAGAGAAATAATCATACAAGACTTGAAAGACTTTTTCATTTTCAAGTACCATTTTGAACAAGTCTGAAACCTTAGGACCAAGCAAGGAGATTCACTTTACCTCGATAACCTTATCCTGAAGGTCATGATGGGCATACAGTGCAATGATCCTAGAGAACAAGCGTTTAGGGATGGAACGTGTGTGCGTGTGCAGAATCATGCTCCACAATGACTCTGCCTCATCTACCCTCTGGTCCATGTCGAATGCCAATAAGAGGGTATCATAAGTTGCCATTGTTGCGCCCTGGCCTTTACTCAGCATCCACTTAGCCACCTTGGTTTCATTAAAACAATCAACTCAGACACGTAATGCGTTTTTTAAGAACGATATATGTCCCTTCATAACATCGGGATGAAAGAAGAATTTCTATCAAACCCAAAATTTCGCAGCGGAACAAGATCTTATTTGTCAGACCTTTAACATGTCGCTGTACCGTAAAGTTCAAATCTTTGCACTAATCTCATTACATCGCAGAAAGACTTGCACCAAAACAGATAAATCATTTTTACCTACTTGGATCACACGACGCCAATGATTTCTCTTCCTCAAGATTCGTAAAGCTTTAGCTGCAGCAATCACAGGGAATTCGATCTCCCAAGCTACCCATTTGTTCAAAGCACCATAAACAGCCTCCTTTTCATTTGGGAGGCCAGAGAGCTGCAAATTGAGATTTATAAGAAAAATGAAAAACCCGAAACACAACCTAGCATTTCTTTGAAGTTTGAACTTCAAAGATTGTGACACAAATGCTGCAGAAGGATTTTCCAGACTTACCATTCTGACAAGGTTAGCTGCTTTTTGCCCCGACCGTGCAGAATCCCTCTTCTTCCACAAATGATGCTCTGTCCTCTGCACCTTCTTAATCTCTCTCCTATAACATTAACACGCAAACTTACCCATGAATCTATCAGGACAAACCGTGTCGAAATACGTAAGGGAAACACTGAATATGTATCACTCTAGATTCAAACAACCTCTTAACAGCAGCTCGCGGAGATCCAACAAGATGTCTGGCCTGCTTCTCTAAGCATTCCCCACAATCCACCATTATAACCTGTCCATTTCGTTTCACATGAACCATGTAAACCGGTTTCTACAGCTAAAGAACCAAAATGATAAAACCCAGAAAAGTTCGGACAGAATGAAATGAATTAGCCGAGAAACCAAAAGTAGTACTAAATATTATCCTGCTTGCCTTTGCCCAGACGCAAAAACTCAACCTTTTTGCCTTCAGCGAGAGAGAACTACCGCAATCTGGAAGTCCAAGTACCGAAAAGCATGTAAAATCATCGGGGCTCTGCAAATTGAACAAAACCCACATGACAAAAATCCTTGCAACAATTGAATACAATCTGAAACAACATGCTACAATGAAATCGAGTACTGATAGTGAATAGTCGATGCGAAATTCAGGATTCAACGATTAGCTTAGAGATATACCCCGTAGAGTGATAATCCTTGCAACGGGAGTCGACCACAAGCTGAACCAAAGCTACAGAACGCCATTACAGTCTCTTATACTTTCACTTCCAGAAACTGCGGAACCAGAAAACGCGGAAAGACCCGACAAAGAGGGGAGTTAGATTCTGGGCACCAAAGGACTGGAACCAAAATCTACGAGAAACCAGAAGCTTTGAAATGGGTAATCGAGATTCGATTCATGGAGATTCGAAAATAAATTTTCAACCAGGAGAAATCATCAATTCGGGGCATCATCCCAGAGATGAAGAATCGTCTCTCGGAACTGGGCCGATAAAGCTGGGTGTAAAATGGGCGGACCGGGCCGTGTTTGAATGGGTTTGAAATTTTCTGGGTCGAAGCCGGGTCGATAGAGTTTCGGCGGATTGTTTCGTGTTTTTCTTTATCTAATAATAAAAAATATATTTTTTATAATCACCGCAACTATAAAAAAAAAAGTAACAAACATTTACATATAAAAATTTCAAAAAAATTATCTCTAAAAATAAAAATATCAAAATAATTGCTTCAAAAATAACACATCTATACAAATCTTAAATCATATAAAAGATTACAAATTTTACGTTAAAGTATAATAATGAAATAAAATCATAAATTAACAAAAAATACTAATATCAAGAACTTAAATATATATATATATATATATATATATATATTAATTATATTTATAGTAAAAACTATCTTATATATTTTAAATCTCAAATATATTTTAGTTTCAATATCAAATATTTGTGTTCATAAAGTGCAATGAAGTAATAACCGTAAACACCCTTCTAATTAGCAAGGCTCCTTAATTACAAACTCATTTAATTAATATGAGTAAATAAAATTATTGTTGAGTTAGGATAATCCATTTAACCTACTCCATTTGACATCTAAATGAATTTGTGAGCCCAACTTGTGGTAATTATGATACCGAAACTTTCGCTGCATATAGTGTTTTTCTTTAGGACAAGTGTGCGATTTGTTTATATGTAATTGTCGATTTTTTTTTAAATCTTTTATATTCGATATGCTGTTAGACTAATACAATAAGGTGATGAAATTATACTTGTAAATTGTATAATTTGGATCATATGCGTAAGTATCTCGTATCAATTGTGACGTCGCATTTGTATTTGTCTCACACAATGAAATGGATTATATTATAATTTATTATCCCTCATTCTATACGGACTAATAAAACTATGCGTATTTCCCATCTAATAGACTGATTTACCCTCCAATAAATGAACCATGTACATTCAAATATAATATTTTAAATCATACAATTTCTACGAAAGTTTCACGATTTCTAAGAATTTTTTCTATTCTCTAGTTCCAAATTGCTTATATATATATATATATATAAAAATTCTTCAAATGATTTTTAAAATAATTTTTGTCGCTTGAATTCTTGCAATTTGTTTGTTTCCTTGAGCATCAACGTCAAAATATATTGATTACGGAAGGCAAAGACTTTCAGGCCACACAAGACTTAAACAAACTAACGACCGTTAATTAACGGCGCCACGTAGTCTCACGATAACGACGGCTCTCTTTCTGTGTTTTGGTTTTGGATAATACAGACGGAAACGTGGCACTCGATAACGGGAACGACGTTAACGTTGTTGGACTTGGTTTACTGTCTTACACGTGTCGATGCACAAGTGGCTTGTCGTATTTGGAGATTGGATTCAGCTGACGTAAAAGCGAGGAGGCGCGTACGAGTAACGTGAGATTGAAAGCGCGTGTGATGCAACCCGCTTTCTGTTTTGGCGATCTGGACCGCAAACGCAGCCCCAGGACGCGCCGTGTGTGTTGCGTTTTGTGGCTTCACTCCAACGCGGCTTCTTCATCAGCGATACTTTGTGATTTCGTTGAACTACAGTTATTTTCTATATGATAAAAAAATAATAATACTAATAATAATAATAATAATAGCATGCTAAATAAAAATTTACATGTTGATATTAAAATCTAACAATTCAACTACTCCTATAATTATGCCTATTATACCGTATACGTTACATCATTTATGTAAATATTGCATACTTTATACCGTGTCAAATCTTGGTGATGCATACACGTATATACATAGAGAGAGAGAATCCATGACTTCACTCAAATCCCTCGTGATGACATCATCTGATGTAGCACGTGCCCTCGATTTTCAAGTTTTACTTGTGGCATATATATATAATAAATATATATCATATGTTACATATATATACATGCGTGTTATATATAAGATTCTCAAAAGGGTTTCTCTCTATAAAAGCCATTTTCCCCTCTCTGTCTTCCCTCTCCTTCCTCGCTGCTCCATAAATCAATCTCTTCGCTTTTCCTTTCGGGTTCTCGTCATTTTAATTTCCCTCACTTTCTCGGAAAACTAAACCTCGTCATTCTCGATATTTTCCCATGTCGGAAGAATTTCAAGAATCCGACATCATATTCTCCGACCACTTCACAAACTCCGACGATGATCCCTTCCTCGTTTTGCCAGAAATCCAGAGGAGAAGCAGACGCAGAAATAGAGACCATGCAAAGCACAGCAACAGCGAGAGCAATGACACAAATACGACGACAAAGAAGTCTTCTCCGGTGAGAATTCCGGCGAGATTTTTCCGGCGTACGGAATCGGAAACAGTCGAACTCGACGACGAGAGAGAGATGACACCTCCTCATGTGATCATCGGGAGAAGAATGGAAGGGAAAATGGCGTTTTCGGTTAGCAGCGGGAACGGAAGAACGCTGAAAGGAAGAGACTTGAGCCGTCTTCGTAATTCGGTTCTTAGGATGACCGGTTTTTTGGAAGTTTGATTTATGAGAAAAAAACCCCAAAAGTTTCATCTTTTTTTTAAAAAATTTGTTAAAGTTTTTTTAAATTAAATTTATGTCGGAGTATTATGATTTTTCTAACACGATGTGTATAATGAGTGTATCATGTAATACTTCTGGGTGTGAAAGGAGAAGGGAGAAAAAACCATTAATGGTAATTGAAGTTTCATCATGATAAGTTCTTTATCCAAAAAAAAAAAACAAAGTTTCATGACAAGTTAATGCTTTCATTACAGCTCGATGAATTGTCGGTTTGGTTTTTTTTCCTCATAAGCAAAATCTTGTTTTAGGGTTTATATTCTATGGTTTTTGTGGGGGCTTTGCTTGTGAAATTTTGTTATCTTAGCTTATAGATTTTGTCTTTGGTCTCACATTCGTGTAATTCCGCGTCTCGTATGCTAACGTGAGCCGGACGCATACGTTGCCTCGCCTGCTATTATTACCGAGAGAGAGAGAGAGAGAGATTTTATTGGTCTTTCTTCCGAAGACCGATTTTATTAATAATACATATCTGATATGTTAATGTTATATGGAGGTAAAAATAGATTTAAACATCGGCTTACATGCATCGAAAATAGGAATATCAGTCCAATGATTAGAGATCGTGCCACTTTTGGTGATATATATATATATATATTATAGTATATATAGTATATTGCAACATGTATCCATAAATTGACCCGAATTATATAAAGACTATTGGTTGACAATTTTTACATAGAAAGACAAAAATCAAATTGGTATTTAAAATTCTGTTTGACTTGGGTAGGCTTTTCCATAGATTTGTGCATATATTATTAGTATATATATTTGAAATAAGATATCCAAATAGGGTACTGGTAAAAAAAAAATTCTAATCCAGATTCGAATCTTTATTTTGAGAGGAACACTTATATGGATTTATAGAATCGGAGATGTAGTCGGGACAAAAAGTCGATGAAATTTCATTTATAAAAAAAAATGAAACAAGGTCTAATATAGTATATTACAAGTCAAGTTTTTCGTTTTAAAAGTTATTACATAGTAATTATACTCAAATAATCCCAATTTTCATTATTTTGGCATTCCTTAGACGAGAAAGCGTGGTCGAATTGATAACTATGCGTCCATTAAATAATTGATACTTTGATATAGTAATCATTGTGTACAAGTTATATTAAAAAAAAAAGCATGCAAAATATGTATGTATATGCACATGCTATTTGTATTGAAAATGGAAACGAATATTGTAGCTATCGAGATAAACCAATCAAAACGCCACGACTAGTACTCCGATTGCTTTATCGCAATTTAATTCATTATATATATATATATATAATTATTTAGTTTTAAACCATTTTTAAATATTGAAAATTATATAATGATGATGATAATTCTTATTGGCATAATAAAATGGAGTCGCGACACCAAACAGACATGACGGTTCATGACCATGTGAATTCTGCCGAACAACCAGACTGTTTGATTTCATATTACAACTGTTCTTTTCGGGTTCCTTAGATTCTGTTTCGCCAATAATATATATATATATATAATTATACGAATGATGACGTGGCAACGTGTGGGTCCGCTATTTGTCCACGTCAAGGCGAAATGAGCTGACACTGTCCGGTCGTTGTCTAACAATGTATTGACATGTTACCTTACCGAGATCTTCGAGGAACACGTGGCATTCCGTTGATCCACGAATCGGACATGACAGTTTAATCAACATGTGTATATGCATTTATATCAGATATTGATATGGGCAATCGTCAAATAACAAAAAACAAAAAACAAAAAAACGCTTAATATCATCATCTCAATTATTCTCTAACGGATTTTTTTTGGGAATTTATTGAAACACTGCATGACGTGGACAATGAAAGTAGGGAATCTAGTTTGGCATATAATATGCCACGTGGCCTCTATGCTCCATCCCGACCAGGAACAAATATATCCGAATTGGCAAGTAGGGGGTGGACAGTTTGGTTCAAAAAATTTCGTTTCGATCCAATCAGAATTGAAATCAAACCGGATAGAATCCAATAAGATTCGGTTCTAATTTGGTACATTATAGAATTGAATAGAACATCTCCAAACCGAATCGTATAAATACCGAACCAAAATCTGAATTATTTACCAATAGATGTGTAAATAATAGAATTTGATTCATATAAGGATACTCTTCCGAATCGAACCGTTTAACATTTCGTTTAAGTTTGACTTAATTTTTATAAAACCAAAAATACCGTTTCTGAACCAAACCGTTTGAATATCAAACCGAAAACCGAAATGCCTGCTCTATTGGCAAGTCCCTCCCTTGCATGAATATATCACTAACTACGAATGTTTCCCATGAACTCTTACGAAAATGTGATATTGGAACAGATTAAGAGATTCCAATCAACTGTAGATATTACCACAGAATCTGTCTAGAGAACGCCCCATCAAAGAACAAGAAGAAGGAAGACTGGCTTTGCAAGAGATTTAGACCAGAGTTCATTCACCAGATCGAAGAAGTTTGCAGAGAATCAGACAGAGAACTTGACGCCTTCATCATCAGCCGACGTTCCCTTGAACAGTGCAAGCTTGCCCTTGTTCTCCAGCAGCTTCAACGCCCTAATCAGAATCCTCCTGTCTATTCCCTGAAGTTCTGGCGGTGATATGAACAGACAAGCAGAGATATCAATATCAGAGAATAGGCTCATGAATCAGACATATATATACACGACAAGTGCAGATGATGTTCTTGCCCTTTAACCAGTGATCACTTGACTCCCCTCATGGATGTTTGCCAATGTGATCAGTTAACATGAATAAAACCATGGCAGGATCGAGGCTTTTTACCTGTTCCTCGTGACTCGGTTCCTGAACGTATTTCCTCGACGGTCATAACACTGTCCTCCAATCCGTTCTCTCTCACCTAACATGCATAAAAACATCGAATTCACATCCAGAGAGGAACAAGGAGATTATTTTGTTGTTGTAGAGATTCTTGATACATCACATGCGACTCACAAACTGTAGAATTACGTCCGCCCATTCTTGAACCCGATGCCAGAGCATCAGGCATTTCCTTCGCCCTTTGTCTATCCACTCCGCACGCCCTGTTTCGTATATAGAAAACGACAATTCTAAATGATCAGATGATACCCACGATACGATAAGACAGCATTAGATCACTGTGACAGGTTCGGTAAGGAACGGGAATAACGAAAAACACATGAGCTTCAAAGTCTAGGAACCAACCCTCCGAGACAAGGGCCGAGAGGAATACCTCCCTCGCTTCATGGCTTAAAGATCCTACAAAAAAATGAAGAATCTCCTCAAGACACAGAGAAACGGCAAGAGTAATGGAAAGGCTGGAAAAAACGACATAGCAAATCTAAATCCATTCAGGTCCCCTTAACTTGCAGCCAGTATTCACATGTAATGATGTAAGATCTTTCAGCCTAGAGAGACAGCTAATGTGACAATTACATATTAAATGACATGGTAGAGAAATTTTTCATTACAGACACTAATTGATGAATGAGTCCATACATCATCACAACCAGATCCTTCATGTCACTCCACAATCATCTGAAACATGTCTTGTTGTACTTGAAACAAGAACGTGGCCATATATATACTGAGATAACTAGAGAGTTCAATTCCTGTAAGCCATCTATAATTTTCTCAAATGGAGTTGAGAGAAAACACTAAGGGATCGTACTATCAATGGCTGGATTTGAGAAGAGAGGAAAATCTTCTTCGAGCCCAACGACGAAGAGCTTCTGGGTTTTGCAGTAATCCAATATAAGCTCCTTCCAGAGCTGAACTTGCTTCTCTCGTGTATCCCTCACCGGCTGCAAGCTGGAAAGTAGCAAACTTTCCGTCAACCCATAATCTTAGAGACATCAAATCACACGAAAAACAAGAACTTGTATTGAAGAAGAGAATTCGTACGTGAAGTACGGAGGGTAATTGAAGAACTGGGGAAGCTTGAAATCACCCAAATTCTGCATCAGTCCACCAAAAAAGTTCTTGCTTCTTAGTTGATGATGCTCCCAAAACTCTGTTATGAGAAGGAAAACCCATCAACGCCGACGAGAAATCGAATCGGAGCTTATAAGAATTGTGAAAGCGGATGTGTATGGCAACGACGCAAAGACTATTTTTTCGTTCACTGTCATGTTCCACAAGAAACAGGATTCCTCACATCGATCATTGAGAAATTCGGGAGGATAAAGGTTGATTCCGTACCGATTTGCGAAGAATATAGACAAAATCGAGTAATTGGTCGATCGTAGAGTCAAAGTTGAGATCTTTGGCCCCCGCCTTGATCTTATACGATATCCGGGAGAAAATTCGGCGCGAGTGCCAGATTAAGAATTGAAGGATCAAACTTTTCTGATGGGTATTGAGGATTCAAGATATGATCAAGGAAAGAGAGAGCTTACGATGTGAAAAGAGCGATTTCAGACAGACGGCTGAAGAACGATCACTCACAATCTTCTGTGCAACTTGGGCTCTCTCTTTCTCTCTCTCCTTTTCAAATTTTGATTGGGACAATCTTTATTTTATTAAGCCGTAAATCGGTTTTTACAAAACCGTATGATTCCAATACTCTGATTAAACCATTTTAAATCACATTTCAACCATCATTTCGTCATCTTTTTGCCTCTTGTTCTCACTAAAACCGGTCCTTTCTTGGTTTGCTTTGAAGATACTGAGAACATACATGTATGAACCAAAACCAAATAGGCACTTTCCTCAGAAGCATCAAATTCACAGGAAACTTTCCTCGGAGAAACAACAATGGCGAGTAAGAAAAACGCATACAGAAAGAACCACCAGAAATGGAACCAAAGGATCCTTCCCCTGTCATGTCCAAACGTAACTTCTACCACTGAAAAAGACTAGTATAAAGATCGCAGGGAATGTTACAAGGACATTACTTCTATAGATTGAAGGAAAAGAGGAGAAAAGGTTTCAACTTTCAGGCTGAAACAAGATCAGGGGTCTCGGCTTCGACGGATAACAATGTGGTGTGAACCTTGTCCACCCAATTGTCCAGCCGATCTCTCAACGATTTGATCTGTGTGATCCCTAAAACTCTCGGTTGCGCCCATGAGATGTGTACTGTCCCTTCCACTTGGTCTATGATTCCCTCTATCAGATGGACCTGCAAATCATTTCCCCACATGTTTACTATCATATACCCATTTCTTCAGTCATATGCACTAGATTATCCATCATGTACTTATGCATTCCATTCCATGTAAATCCGTAGCTGAATACGAGTTTCAGGGCAAATAACAGGTAAAAGCCTTGAACCCTCGTGTCAGGGACCGACAGAAACTACCATGGAATTCACAAAAATCGAATAAAAAATGTTTAGAGAATCTCAGGGGTAAGAGAGAGAAAAGAAGAATAATACTCACAGATAGGCCCTTCATAAGGAGATGCTCAACGTCCTCCACAGAGAGTTTAGTGCGCTCAGCAATGACGGTCAATGGTATGGTCCTATCTTCAGCAGGTCGGCTGTGACAACGTTATTGGTAAAAGGGTAATCACTAAATAGTTGAATGAAATAGCACAAGATGTTGCCTATAGAGTACAAACCTGAAGATGATCTCAATAAGGCAGAGAATGTTGATCTTTTCCAAAAGTTTCTTTTCATTCTCAACCAGTGCAGGTTGAGCCCTCAAGGATGCATTATGCACACGGCATAGTTCTTGGTACTGAACTAAATCGCCATGGTTGAAGGCTTGAAGCATGTGGTAAAGCCATTCCACATTTGTTCCAAGGAGACTTTTTATCTGTTGTGAATTAAGAATGGCATGTAGTGTAAGTGCCTTCTAAAATCCAATCAAAACTAAGAGATTTAAAAGATCCTATCTTCTTCAGGATAGTATTTTGATGTGCACATGGCCGTAAACTAGAATTTGTAACCCAAGCAAAGGAAAGGCATTTAGGAGACCTATTATCGATGAAGGCAAACTCACAATGGGATGGGCTAACAGCTCTCCAAAGTTATAGATATTATCTCCGAGTAGAGCTGAAAGTGACAGATCAAAAGCCAAATCCTGAAAGAGACCAGCACAGATAAGATTTTAGCAATCTGATTGTGGAAAAAAGAAATTACCAGAAATGAAGCTTTTCGATATTCTTATTCCTCTAAATTTCTCCAAAATCTCCTAAAAAACTAACTTCTGGTTTACCCTACTGGTCAAACACAATTTTTGCAAGATATACGGAAGCATCAAAGCAGGATTTACACAAACGACAAAGTCATACCAGCTTAAACGATTCTGAGAGTGACTCCACCGATGTGTATGCGAGGTACAGAAGAGCATTCTTATAGAAATCAGAAAATTCTTGACGATATTTGTGGTATTGGGAAGACACCCAATAATAGCTGGCATAGACTGATGGATCAATGTCAGTCATACTATCAATGGAGCTCTTTCCATCTTCCAAGATTTTCTTGCACTCCTTCTGGTCACCCTGCTCAAGCTTGAACAAAGCCATTTGCATTTTGATATAAATAACCGGCTCATTGATACGCTGCTCTCTAGTAGCTTTAAGTTTTTCAATCACTCGTTCGAGATAACTAACTGCAGCTTCTTTCTCAGGATACTGTCTGGAGACTACAACCGCAAAATGGGCGAGCTTCAGAAGATTGATCTTCGTCTCAAAGTCGGTGATGAAATTGTTATAGAGCTGTATTAAAGCATCCCCAGCCTGATACATGAACATATCAAAGCAAAAGTTAAAAGAGGCACACTAATTGTATAATATTTGCATATACCAAACTATTATAAGATCTGAGCCAGAGCATCCAATACATTTACACTTTGGAAACATGATAACATTGATAAGTAGACATCTTAAAATCAAAATCAGAACAAAACAAAGAAAAACAGCACTTGTTCCACCCCCTAATGCCACCAAGAAATATCTGGTGATTTGCTAAATACGAGAATTGAACGCACTCACAACTCTGAACTCGTAGTTAACTTCTAAAATTCTCTTTACGAATTCGTTCCTTAAACGCTCTTACGAAGTTTTTCATAAGCAGAGATGCAAGAACATGAAAATGCGTATAACTCAGTTCAATACCAGCGAAATTCACAAAAAAAAAAAACTTGCCAACTTGGGAATCTCAGCAAAAAATTAGAAACCCAACTCATAAAATCTTTAACTTTCATCCACGAAACGCCATCTAGATGATGAATCGTCTGGATCCTACTCTTCCGAAGCTAAACACAACGAATTCCGCCTTCTCTCTCGAGATCTATGAACCCTAAATCTCTACCACCACTGACAAATGAAAAACGCGCAGTGACATGGTGGAAATGGACTACAGAGGGGAAGGAGAATACCTGAAAGACAGCGAGAGCGATGAACTGCTCGAGCTTGAGGGTGAGCTGGTGCCAGAGCCTCTTCTGGTACAGATCTGCGAGGGAATTGTACCATTCCCCGAGCTCTGGATGCGCATTTCGCTGAGATTCCAAGTACTGGAGAGCGGCCATGGCGGATTTTCCTCGCAGGAGATGACGGACGACGAAGGCTTCGATCTTTGGATCGGCGAGGAGAGAGAAAAAGATCTGAAAACCCTGCCTTTTTAGTAAACCATTTTTCCTGGACTAAAAGAAAAGTATAGGGGAGAGAAATGCAAAAATAGAAATTTAAAAGGGTTCCGATGTAAATACAAAATACCAAATGCAGGATACAATTATCCTAGAGCCCAAACAGGCCCTAGATTACTCCCAAGTCGCTTAAACCCAGAGTTTTCGTTTCGTCCCTCAATAGCGATTGAAGGGGAACTCTTCTTCTTCTGGAAGAGCAATGCAGAGATTCTGCAGCAAGCTTCGGTCTTTCGCCGTCCAATCGAATCAAAACCTCTCTTTTATCACTGCGCATCGTCGTCTGCTCCACCACTCTCCGCCGCAGTATCGCCAACAAACCCTAGGTTTCGCCCGGAGCAAATGGAGCTTCGTGCCTGCTGCCCATGACGGTCTTCCGTTGGCGAATCGAGTTTCTCCGGTGGCTGCTGGGTCCATGGGTTCTAGCTTGTTGCCTTATCATGTAAGCTCCCTGGTTCGAGAATCTTTTGACTGTTTGGTTCGTGAGGAAATGGTTTGTATAGAAATGACATGAGGGTTTCAATTAGATTCTCGTTAAACCGTCTGGATGATTTATGGATTCAGTGGTTAATGCTAGTGATTCCGTTGTTATTTTACTGTTTGAATTTTGGTTGTTGAGAGGAAAAATCTCTGGCTAGCTACGTAATTGAAGTGATAGATGATTTTGAAAGTTCTTTGCTAATCTCAATCTTGAATTTGCTGTGCAAAAGTGCTCGAATTTCATGCAGTATTCGCAGGAACTCATCCTGGCTCTGTATATTAATCGAATCTGTGTTAAGTTAATGGATTATGTTCCATCCAAAAGATTTTATTGCATTTCCGGGCATGTGGATATTCTCAAATCCCTATCAAGTTTTTGATCTATGTTTTTTAGTGGCATCCGGGATTGTTAGTGGCAATGGCAAAACAGCCTTGTGATACAATTTGGTTCATAGATGTTTCTCGACTTTCATTAGCTCCCGGTGCCTTTTTGCTGCAGTTCTACGACAGATTCAGTCATAGAATGTCTAATGGGTCTGCTTTCTGATCGTATTCTCTTTATCGCAACAGAGAAGAATAGATGTTCTGATAGTTTCTCTACCTTGCGAGTATAACCTTACCCGTTCTTCCATATTTTTATAGGAGAGACTGGAACCATGCTAGAATGATCAACACTTTGCAATCAAACTATGGTCGATCAATTTGGGTTTCATTTGTGTAGCAGTGCCATTTTTTGTGTTGCTTGTCGGTTTATTTCTCATGGCTTATCTTCTTTTTATTGGGATGTTCTCTACAGTTTGCTCAAGTACGGAATATTACTTCGAAAGAACGGAAAGCAAAGTGGAAGAAGAAGTGGAGACCTAGGACTCCAGTCACATCGAAAGTCAAGAAAATAAAGATCAAGGGTTACTCGTATGTTCTTCTTGTTCTCAGATATCAATATAAATCAGGTTAAAAAATGCAAATGAGTCGAGTTATTTCTTAAAATCTGTTGTTCAGGTCATATAAAGACAGGTTTAAGTTGCTGAACGACGGTACCATTCGTCGCTGGAGAGAGGGCAAGCGCCACAACGCACACTTGAAGGTACAAACTCGTTCTATACATAAATACGTATGTCAAAGAGTTAATTTGTTCTCTTTTGGCTATCCCTACGGAAGCAGTAGATATGGATTTTCCCCTACATCATGAATATAACATAGGAAGAACATGTTGAGTGCAAAAGAATTGGTAAAGTTCAAAGGTTTTGAGCACTGTGTTGCAGAATAACATGGAACATTGTTCTTTCTCTTATGTGATTCATTCTCGTTTTTTGGTCGGTACAGTCGAAGAAATCGAAGAGGAGACTGAGACAACCGGCACTTGTACCGGCTGCATATGCCAAAGTGATGAAGAAACTCAATTTCTGCGGTTAAGACAGAAAAAAATTATGAATCAATCATCAAATCTTCTTCCGGGTAATGGTTTGGTTTGAAGTTTTGAGTTCTTTCCTCATTTGTTTCAACATCGATCGATACTTATAAGTAACTTGATGGCTCACTATTGAACTTTTGTTAAATAAACGATGAAACAATTTTACAACTCTTTTATTTGTTTTTGAAGGTGTTTATTCTTCTGTCTGTCTATAGATATTTTTAGTTTAAAACATTTCTATGAGGCAATTTCACCAGGGTAAACGACCGTCTTCGGACCAACCATGTGAGTTTACGAATATTCCATTCTCCTTGTCCGGTGGAGAATATTCCACGCTGGCATGCCCATTTTAATCGTATCACATGTTCCTTCGTTCTTTGCCGTTCGATTGCTATCGGGGGTTGGCCTTTATTGAATCCGACGGATGAGAATAGAGGTCCACGCAACATTGATGTACACCTGATTGCAGCTGAAAGTTTAACCGTTGAAAAGTTTTCACCAAATGTAAATATTTATTGTTTATCAGAAAATGTAGGTATCTATTGAAACTTGTGGAGTAAAATATCATTTTTTTTAATGTTAAGTTAAATTTACCTGCTATTAAAAAGAAAGAAAATCTAAGAGGTTTATTGCAAATAGATTTATATTGGGGGATAACTATATATGATTGGTTATCATGTCCTATTCATCGGATGTCCAAGGGACAAGGAATTTACCTATACGATACAAAATCATATTATGTTTTCGTTATTAATATAAAAAAAGTTTTTGTTGGGACACGACAATCTAGTAGTATGCAAATGGACAAGATGCGGACCCTCTCCCATGTTCCAATAATATAATAAACTTTTCATTTATTTACGTAACTTGACATTATAAAAATGCATACAAATAAATAAATATGTAAGATCTATAACATTATATATATAAAAAAAAGGGTAATGCAAATAAATATGCGGAAAAAAAACGTCAAGGTCGACGTCTCAAAGTGAAGATTATGCCATTTTCTCGTCCGTCATCATTTCACGATCGACGACTTTTTTCTTCATCTCTCTCTCTCTCTCTCCCTCTCTCTCTCTCTCTCTCTGTTCCTCCGTTCCTCTCTAACTCTGTTTTTTCTCGGAAAATCTCGTCTCCGATCTCCCCGCTCGGATTCTTCTCGACTTTCGCAACTTTTTGAAGTTTTTTGTTCGTCTCTGGACAGGTTTTTGTAGTTTGTACTGCCATTGTTGAGTACCCATCTCCTCCCTCCAGGAGAAAATTCGAATTTCTGTCCGTCAATTCCACCGCCAACTTTTTTAGGGTTTTAGTTCCCCACGGATCGCGCCTCGTATACCTACTGCCATTGCGGTGTATCGATCTCCAGAATCCCGGAGAATTCGAATTTCAGCTAGAGATTCTTCGCAATTTCACCACCAAATTCGAGATTCGGAGAGGAAGAGAGGCTAGTCAGAGAAAATGGAGATGATGAAATTGGGAGGAAGTATAGGGTATGAGAATGGCGGAGTGGTGATGACGAGAGATCCTAAGCCGAGGCTGAGATGGACCGCCGAGCTCCACGATCGCTTCGTCGATGCTGTAACCAAGCTTGGTGGCGCCGACAGTACGTCCTTCTTCTTCTTCGTCGTCGTTGCTTCCATTTCAGTACATTGCATCTCTTATCATTGATATTTTGATAGATTGAAACTGTATTGGTCGACAATTTCGAAACGTTCAGACACAGAAGGGCATCAAAATATACACTTTAAGTTTCTGTTTTTGCCAACAAGAAAAGAGTAGAATTTCTGCTTATCAGCCGTAAATCGCAGCACTTTTGCCTCTAGTTCTGTTCTGTAATGGGTTATATAAACAAGATACGTAGAAGTTGTAATAGAAAGAAATGAAAATTGGTGTTTTAGTTGCACTTTTGTATGTTAGATGGCGTCTGTTTTATATCATTCCACTAGTATGAGATTATCTGATTGACTGCTAATAGGCTATCCTTTCGCTTTATTAAGTCCGGTTTCCATGAGCTATAAATTTTCTCTCTTTCTAATAGATGAATTTCTACATGATAATTACTCTTGATTGTGGTATTGTTGCATAGATGCTTTCACTTTCCATGTGGAATCTGCTTTCTGCATTGAGTGATTTCTGGTGATATGATATTTTTAAAGATTTCGTGCCATGTTGGCTCGAATTTTAGGTACCAAAATGCTTTGGATGTCTATATAAATACGAGAATGAATTAAGTTCGGGGAGGTGCTGATGCTATTCGCATTATGCATGTGATCTGAGAATAACAAAATGGAGATTTTAGTGATTTGAAAAAGTCTTCATGTTCCTGATCATCGTTGTTGTTGCCCTGATCTTTGCATCTGTTCTTGTTTGCAGAAGCTACCCCCAAGTCCGTTCTGAAGCTAATGGGCTTGAAGGGATTAACGTTGTTCCATCTCAAGAGCCATCTACAGGTGCTCTTATTGCCACCCGTGACATATTTACGTTCGTATACACATATACACATTCATGTATGTAATGTAATTAATCATGAGCTACTCAATATTGCCTTACATTCTGTGCGATTGTTGGTATATGTAGAAGTACAGACTTGGTCAGCAGCAGGCGAAGAAACTAAACCATGCAGATGACAACAAAGAGAATGGTGATGTGTGAAGCTTTATTGCCAAAAAATTTCAGTTTCTTTTGGAAAGATTGCCTCAAAGCTGTCGTGTATATATATATATATATATGTATTTTTGCATTATTTCGTTTGGATGTAATTTGACAAATATGAGATCAGATAGACTAAAGTAATGATAGGAGGAGTAGACACAAGGTTTTCACATGATTTTCTTTTTTATTTCATATTTCTAACCATTATGGAAACAAGGGAAAGACTGACGTTTGTGTTTATACATTGCAGCAGGAAGTTCATATGTGCATTTCAATACTCATTCTCAAGGAGATTTCTCTAATTTACCAAGAATCGATAATCAGCAAAGGTACGCCTCTAATTAACCAGAGATGGATCACTTTCCATTATAAACAAACACCAAGGACCAAACTTCATCAAGGACACGATCCTGGAAACATTCTTTGAATTGTATTTTACTTAAGGATTTATAGCTGGTGTGGATCTTCATTCCATTTACCAGAAATGCTATAGAGCTAGTTGGCAAGGACACAAATTTAGGTTGTACTAACGAAACACACTAACTAAACAGGAACATTCCATTTGGGGAGTCATCGAGGCATCAGGTCGAAGGTCAGCAGAAATTGCGACAACAGCTCGAGGTAACATTAAAAAAGGCGAAATGACTGATGCATAATATTTCTTCTCTTCTCGTCCCCTGGATAGAAACAATATTCACATTATGTCGTTACAGGTTCAGAAGAAATTGCAGATGAGAATAGAGGCACAAGGGAAATACTTGCTAGCGTTACTAGACAAAGCAAAAACGAGCTTTCCCACCTTGGCAAACCTTCCATCTGATGCGGAAGCAACGACGGGTCAGTTCTCAGACTTCAATCTAACGCTTGAAGGAAGTAACGACGGAGAGGAGAAGAGTCAAAAGGTGGCTTCTTCTACCGCCGATACCTCAAACAACAGCGAATCAGAAGATTTTGGAGTCTGTCGAGAGCGAGAGAATGAAAACTCGAAAAGCGGGTATGATCTCATGACTTTAGGGAACTATGGAATGGAGATTAAGCCAAATGTATTTGCTGATAGGCATTAGGTAAAAGGGACATTACTTTAGTTTTTTTTTTTATTAAATTCATTTTCCTTATACCAACCTCTCCGACTCATCCCCGACCTGATTCGATCCGATGATACTGAAATCGTATTTTGGATCTACGAACCTTTTAACTCTGGAGTTTTTCGGAGCAGAATTAGGGCGAAAAGGATCTGTGAGACAGAGAAGGGTTATTCTGGTTTCGGGTTCTGTTTCAGTTCCTTGTTGTTCACGTTACAGAAGATCTATGTACTGTTAACGAATATGTGGAGTTGCAAACAATTTCCACATTGGTTTGAATTATCATGGGATACAACAAGGACTCAGGTATCCATTGATATCTGATGGACCGACGAAGGCGAATCGAGGAAGGCAAGTATCTGTTAGATGCCGGGATTGCTCGAGTATTGGTTGGATAGTCGACCGATGAAGGCAAGTAGGAGGGGCGATGCAAAAGGGCGAGCCTGTGAACCGAGAGAGCGAGAAAAAGATGTAAGTGAGCGGCGACGCGAGACTAGGGCGAACGGGGAGTGGCGAGGGTGAACAGAAATCCTTAAATGGATGTGTCCTTCGCCTTCGCCTCAGTGGCTCGCTTTAAAAAAAAAACCCTAATCACCCTTCCTCCAGTCTCGCCTCGTCCCCACGCGAATTCCTTCGCTCTCTTTCTTCCTCGACTTGGGTTATCAATGAATATAAGTACTCACCGGTCGAAACCTCTAAATCCGAAGGTCGAATTCTCGTAGTGGATAGATCGATGCTCATCCTGCGGATACCTGACTCACGGATCATACTCGAAATTTCGGATTCCTGTGCCTACCCTTAGATTTTGTTTCTTTTCCGACAGAGATAAATTTTTACATGTGGTGACTGCTACTACCATGTGTAGTACGTTTTCATTACACAAATAAATATATCCCACAAAATCCGAAATGGATTCAGGTAAGTGTGACTAGTGTACATTAAGTTACCGATAAGACGAACACTAAAGAATATGGCAAAACACAATATTATTGCATAGAGGAACCACACTCCTGCAACAAATTATTATTTGCTTTTCCTTTCTTACTGTAAAATTTCGACTTTAACAAAACGATATTAAAAGAAGAAGAATGACCCAAGAACCTGTTTATATGACACAGCAAATATGGAAGCCCCAATGTGAATGTTTTAGGGCTTGGCGCCTTAATCTGACTCCAGCTTCGGGACTATGGCCGAGGACAGCTCTACATGAGAAACCCTAACCACCCCGATCAGCCTTTCCGGCAATTCCTCCTGTGTATTTGCCTACAAAAACAGATATATAGTCAAGCAAAAAATGCGGAATCGGATGAATACCGACAAGACCATACGATATGAATACCTGTACAAGGAAAGCCATTTCGACGACCAATGATGTGATCATTCCAATGACAAGACCTAAGACTCCATTCGCGACCGTTGATGAACCGATATCGACATCAATCTAAATGAACATTAAAAATCATATTCGTGTTATTTGTCGGTGTGAGACTGAACAAGAAGCGGTGAAGAGATATGCTCACTTCTAAGTAGGTAGGACCGCGGATGTAGTTGCAATCCACCGCTTTCCCCAGAAGACACGGTGTGCTTCCCACGCTTTGGCGTACTATCCACGAACCCTTTGTGATAAATTCGTAAAATGTGAACAATCATTAGAGTTTGATGACGAAAAACAGGAGGAGTTCATGGGATAGATCAACAGTTTTCCTTGAAGGAGTAATCTCCCAGTTTGATTTTCAATTGCCTTGACTACTGACGACACTAGACATCTGGTCAGCACTATGAATAGTTGCAATCATTCCCAAGTTCAAGACCCAGTCATAGATTTCTCATATACCTGGAGAGAGAGAGAGAAAGAGAGAGGTATACCTTAGGAACTGAAGGTATAAGCTTCAGCCGACTATTCCGAAATTCGTCGTCACCATCTACAAATCGTTGCAAGAGGGATCCGGGTGCTAGTTCCTTCGTCACGAAATAAAATACCATACTGTAATGTGTTGATCCGGGAACCTAGAAAAAAAGCCAGAATAGTAACCATAAAAAATTCTGTAAATCTTGTTCTCAATCCTATAGTTCACAGGGAAAGCTTACCTGAACATTTACCACCAATGAGAATAGCCCCTTCTCTGCAGCAACCTGAGCAAATTTATCAAAAGAGCGTTCTAAGTGAAGAAGATACAACATCTTGAGAATCATCAAGGATAAATTTGTAGATTCAGTTCAAGAATGAAGAGGTAGTTAAGGTGATTATGACTCTTACTTGTGCAGCACAGCCCTTACGTCTGACCACATGATCCATTCTCTTAGTGTCTTTAAACCAATCGACAGCAACGAGATCCATTAGATGCTTCCCAGCAGGAACCTTCAGTAAAATTAAGAATTAAGTGAAACAAGACTAAGCTTTGATATAAAAGAATACGCATCTCAAAATTCCATGCCTAAGTAATCAGATGAAAGATTACTAACCTTTCTTTTGTCGTCACAGAAGCTCTTGCTACGAACTTTGAAGTTGTTGCCATCTGAAGTCCTCCAGCAGTTACGGGCATTCTCATTATTATTGTGCCGTAGGTTTCCCGAGAAGCACGACAGATCGATGTCGTGAGCAGGTTCTTCTGAGGTTTCAAATGGAAAAAGAAATTTTTAGCTATAAGAAATCTCGAGGTTTCAATAGGATCCATATTAGGAAAACGGGGAACAAATACGATATTGGTATCATCTTTTACCTGTTCTCTTGACATCAGTCTCTGGCTTATTTGTTTCAGGCTGAAATAAACACGAGTTAAATAGGATCAAATTTTTTGAGATGCTGCTTTAGGATCTAAAATTCGAAAGAAGTGCCCAATAATCCAACCTCTTGTTCTGATTCTGCTATTTGAAATTCATCATCATCATCTGAGTCTTCATCCATTAGCACAGAGTTTCTGCTGCTAGCATTTGCTTGGTCAGCACAAAGGGCAGACAGATGCTGAGGTTTTCCACTTCGGCTCAAGCTCAACGAAGTCGATGCCATATTAACCATGACAGGGATCCTGGGAGGAACACCTCTATCATCTGTTTGTGCAAACCACTCGCGTAAACCTGTAAAAAATGGGACACAATTATTCAAAGATAGATAGGCGAATCCCGTCTTCAAAATATAGAGTAAAACACCTTTTGAACAAGTGGAAATGTATATAGAAATAGAATAACTTACCAGCAACACTATTCAGCATTTGAAGAAGACAATGTTGTTGAAATGCCGGAAGATAACCCACACCCCATCCTTTTAGATCGAGCTGCATTAGATGTTGCACCTGTGCTCTGGGCTTCCCGTTTCGTGGCTTCAGTGGGGCGATATTAAATCCTCCACCTAAAACGATCAGACCATTGTTCAACATTAGAATATTTTACATTATAGAATAAAATGATTTCGCTAAAAGACTTAACATGGAACTGGTATCCTAAACTTACTCTCAAGATGAGCCCGAACATATCCAGGTTGTTGGCCACAATTCTCATGCTCCCTAGAACGAAACAACACCACTGCACGACAAAAGAAAAAATAAATAATGGACGGTAGAAAAGAAATGGTTTAGTTTCAAGGGTGAGTAAAGAGTAAAACAAGATACCGTAGCTCCCATCATCATTACGACGCCAATAACGAACATAACAGAGATCACGAGGCCACACAACCCTGGAACATATCAACATCATAAGAATAAAACAACAAAGTCACAAAGTCAAAGTCTTGGTTAAATTGTAAGCATTCTTGTTACTCTTCACCCCCTCCTCTACCTTTTCAAGTAACATGGTACTCTAGCATGCAAAGCAAAACCTGAGACACCTCCTCATAACACCTACACCACTACTTCATTTGGGACAGAATGACAAGACTGACTTGATTTTGAATCAAATTCTTACATTTCATGAGCCACCCTTTACAAGATTGAATTTAGTTGTATGTGACTATAAAAGAAAGATATTTTTCACAATCAACTTACATCGGAAACCAGTCAAGCTGAAGCCTATGGTAGAGTACTGCTGTATGACCATCCACCTCTTCGACTAAGCTCCCGTACTGAAAGCTGGAGTCCCACCTGCCTCAAACCAGAAGACACGGGAAAAAAGGAGAAGAAAACTTCAGATACAGAATCAGAGATGAGAACGCTAGAAAAAAAAAACACCTCTGCACACAAACCAGATAATGAGTTACAAACATTTCAAGAGAGGGGCATTGTCTAAGGATGATTCAATTGAAAAAAATGAACACCCAAGGGTATAATAATATAATACATAACAGTATAATGAAAATTTTAGTTGAATTTACCAAATCACATAACAGCCTCTAACTATATTACTATAATAGAATGAACTAAGACAAGCAACGGAAAAACTATCTCAAGTAAGCAGGCACGAAATGAAAGAACAGGAGACAGAGAAACACCTACTCATAACGAGTTCCATCCATGCTCATCACAAGCTCAAATATCTCCTCACATGTGGCCTCCACTACACCAACAGCCTTCATTGCTCTGCTGCAGCTTCTTGGCTGCGTCCATCATACTAAAAATCATGGTTCTTGTCTAAACAACAATACTATGTAATCAACATGAAATCTCTCCATAGCGGTAAAGCAAAATATAGAGAACTGACATACAAGGTAATCAACTTCAAGAAGCTCTTCAAAAATCCGAAGCCCTGCCAATTGTATGGAAAAAAAATAAAGAAAACTAAACCAATATTGAAATTCCATTTTTAAATTTGACCATCCAGATACTACAATTGTGAATATATCGCAGCCAACAGAAGTACATACTACATGCCTTAGGAAAGTGCCAGAATCTAAAAGTTTGACATAGTAACCAAAATTCCATAATCTTCCGCACATTAGCTGGGAAAAAGAAGTAATAACTCTTTTTATAAATGCCTAGCGAACTGTTGCATTCTAACAGTCTTGGAAATACACTAACCATTTTGGCATTGAAGGAGACGCCAGTGTTTTCTCGAAAATGCTTGGTTGTTGGTATTCTGATTTGATAACTTTGCGTCAAACTCCCTAGTCCAGTCAAGTATTTGTTCAGGTGGCCCTGTAAGTTTGATCGAGGTGGTCAGATTTCAACTTACGAAAGCAGCAGACCAAGTTCAAGAAGAAATAAAATCGAAAAGAACCATTTCCAATCGTTGTCCTCCTTAATAAACTACGATGAGAATTATCTTCATCCTCGGGTGCACTGAACCTGAAGAAATATCCAGATATTTTTGTGCATGAATATGGGCATATCAATCTCGGATAGGATTAAGATATAGCGTCAAACATCAACAAAAATAATGAGGTGTGGGCACTATCTACATGCAGCAACACAGGCATTTCTCTGATGTTTGTATGATTCTTAACAATCACTTTGAAAATTTTGTTATATTATTAGGATTAATGATAAATTGTTTCCAATTTTATTCTGTAATAAGGCATGAATGAATGTTGTAAATTATTATATGAGCAAGATTACCACAAACCAGGATCCTTTTGCATGTAAAAGATCATTATCCTTAACAAGGAGATGAACTTTACACTCTAAATGAAAAGTGTATAATTCCATGAGAAGTATTTAAGACTGAGGTAGAGAATCACATGCTTAAGCAGCCTAAAAATAGGAGTTAATGGCAAATGATCATAACTTGCCAACAGAAATGAAGAAATATCTGAAAGGCACTCACTGGCTTTCATGGTCCGAAGATGAAGCAGTTCTTGTGATTCCCATTCCAGACTTATATTCAAAAGAAGCGTATTGCTGACCATTTGCAATTGGGGACTCTTGATGCTTCACAATGAAAACAGTATAAGGTAATCAGTAATCTCATAAGCACCAGTAAACACAATTCAAACAGTTACAGCTAATTAACACAGGCACTCTTATCTAACTATATATATCAGACCCATAAAGAATGGCAACTACCACGTGGTCCAAGAAGAGACCCATCCCAACCTAAATTAACCCAGAACACGTCTAGAAAAACATAAAATATTCTGAACCAATTAAAGATTCAGGACAGACCTGATCTATAACTGACTCAATTTTCTCCTTCCACATTAGTGCTTCCTGGATGTTGAATGCTGCCATCTAGCAAAAACATACTCCGCATGAATTAATAAGCATAATAAAAATTGCAAGACAAAAGGACCCAGAAATGATTCATCTAGCAAGAACATACTCCATTGACACCAATATCACTATCATCAACACTAAAGTAGCATAATATAACACTACATAAGAATATGACTAATGTGAAATGATCAAATCTAAGTAAGAGAGCATATACTGCTAGTGATTTTCACAAAGTGAAGTAAAGTGTAGATACCGTTATTCTATGGTGCTTCTCTTTTTTGTTATAGACGGATAAAACATAAACCATCTGCAAAAGAGAGGTGGAAGAAGAAATGAGATTGCAAAGCATAAATAAATGACGTAATAAACAAGGATATGATGACAGCATGCAAAAACAGCATGAAAAACATATGAACTGAAACACAGCAAATATTATCAAGTATCCTGTCACTCTAGGAAGAGATTGCACAAAAGGAAAAGAGGTGTGAAAAGTTGCCCTTTGAGAAACCCTGATATGATCTCTCCATTATATAATCGAAAATCTGAAATCCCTAAATAGAGATGTGATATGTGAATGCCAGCAGTAGTACGGTGATCAGTTTTGTGCACATGAAACTTGGAGTAATTTGTTTCAATGATCCACTAATTCAAATTTTTTCCTCGGCAGCATCCCTCTCTCAGCCTAAGAAAAATTCCCTATATCTCAGCTTTAGAAATACTGTTCTATCTTGCAGCTCCTCCTACTGTCCAGAAATAGTCCTCTTCCTACTCATCACAATGTTTAAGAATCAAAGTCCCCAAGTCTCTTCCTCCATGAAAGTGGACTGTGCCACACTCATGAAAGAGAAGAAAAAGTTTGAAACAATTCCTTTAGAGGAAGTCTTACTCTGCAATTCCAATACTATATATCAAGCCGACAGCTTTACCAGAGAAGAATTCGATCTAACGCATCAGAAATGCTGTAGTCTTCTGAACACAGAAACTACAATTTCAAAGGCAATCCAAACAATCACAGGGCCATAATCCAGCGTATATAGGATAGCATACAATGTCAAAATTTCAGAAAGAGATCGTGTTGTTCCCAATTACTATACTTTACAAAGAAATTATTGATACATCTAAAAGAACAAAGAGTCGAAAACTAGCAATCAAAAGGTTAATTATGACTCACATGTCCATGATGCGTCTTCAATCCTCGATCCTCTACTCTGCAGTTGCCATCAATTACCATGGTCTTGATGGGAAGCTACGTCAAAATGTATAAAAAAAACAAACTCAGATGACACAGGGAGAGGCAGATCAAAAGAGAACCCAGACCCAAAAAGAAGGGTTCATAATCTAACAAACTGGAAATTTTCCATTTCAGGTCTGGTCCTGACAGTTCACTCTACTACTTACAGCAAACACACTCTCAACTTGGAAAATGTCGAATTCCGAAAAAGGGAGACTTGGAGGAATTAGTTCATTCGCGAGATTCACCTGATTATCCTGCGGTTTCTTCTTGTAATACGCCAAAAGCCGAGGTTCCAACACGAAATACCTCATATGGATATACGATCTTC